ACGAGTACTCGAGCGTGACTCCTTATTGCCGCTGCACCTACAGAAACGATCCGTTTGCGGCTCTCCTCTATCGCCAATCCCATATCCGCTTTATCTTCCTAGCCGGATTTTTCGTGCTAGCAACCCTTCTCCAAAGTTTCAAAGCAACACCGATTACGTATCACCTTGTACAGCTTCATTTTTTTTTTTTTTTTATTTTTTCATTTAACCCGTGCAACACTCGAGTACCGACCTCTTGAACCAAGGATTTATGGGTTCCAAGTGGTAGTTGCTTCGGTAGTGCACCAAAGCTGGTTCTTACAAGTGTAGCACACATGGCAAGTTATGCAATATTTTATGGTAATTTTATGTTCGATTATTGATAATGATAATGCGTCAGCTAGGAAGCAAAAATGAATTGATTATTCAGGGTGTTAAAAAATACCCCGAATACCTCTACACCGCTGGATAGATCACTGGAAAAATCGAAGTGAAAAGTTCTGTAGCATTTTTCTAATACGGCCAAAAAAATGCTGTACTTTTATTTTTATGTAAACATTTTTATAGGAAATAAAAAGAATAAACTGTATTATGGGGTATGAGGTATGGGTATATTTTATGATAAAGACAAGTATACTGATCGCCAAAACTAAATTTTTATAAATTTATCGAGCAAAGTGACCGTCGTTTTGATAGCGATAATCCTTTATCTACATTGCAATCGTTCCATAACTGTTATCGTACATAAGGGATTAATCCGTCCATTTGATTATCAATAACCGATTATTAAACCCCGTGTAAGCATCTCGGCTGAGGATAATCCTGCTTCTCCGTGATTCACCGTATCGCCCAGCTAGAAAGTCCACGATAAAGGACGGTGTTGCTGGAAGAAATCGAAGAACTGGTACTCGCGAAGCGTGTAACTGGAGTATATGGCTGGCGATAATATCGGTAATGCGAATGGAGAACCGCGGTATCGCGGACATCATTTTTCGATGCATAATTCGGATCTCAGACGTATGCTTGCCAGGAAATCGTGTAATGCTTCTGTTCCCACGAGGACGTAGGTACCTACATTTGTTTGCCTAGAGATTCAGTTAACCCAGATAGGATTTACTCGATCCGTTACCCTTCGTGGATTATTGTTAGCGAATTTGGAATACTCTTCCCCCAAGAGATACGACGTCGCGTGTTAGTCTGCTCGGATCGATCGTTATTCGATGCTTTTCATACTTTTCTTGTTGATGGAACGACGGATACCGTGACAGGAAGACGTCGAACACGGGGGTGATGTCGCGGATGGCACGACTCTTTTCCATTTTTTTTTTTTTCTTTTCTTCTATTACCTTGAATAAATTTCGTACCAGTCACTGGAAATGATTGCTTTTGTGCGCTTTGGTTGAATATTTTTTTAATCAACCGCTGATCAATATAATAGACATTATTATTATTAACTTCGTTCTCGACGCGATGATTTTCCTCTATAAAGTGTCTATAATAGTACGTCTGACACAAAGTAGACACCCACGCGTTATCACGCTTAGTATCATAAGCTTCAATTGAACTTCATCCAACTTTACGGCTCTCAGAGTAGATGATGGCCTGTGGTGTTCTATTTTCTAGATTCCTCTGATTATGGTTGATATCAAACGTTTAACACCTTGATGCCAGGACAGTTAAAAGTTTCTATCTGATTTTAAGCGTCTATTAGCCGATCTCCTTTCCAGATTTCCACGAAGACGATCATCAGCGTGGAAAAGTAGTTCGGTATTCGTTCAAATTCCCAATCTCCCTGGAAAAGTCATCGAACTCGACCAGCAAAACGCGAAATTTTCACTTTAACGATCCTCCGCCGAATGCATTAACATAACTCGCTTCTCTAATGCGTCCAGTCATTGTCGTTCTCAAATGCTAACGATTATTATTTTCGAAAGTGTGTCCTGGTCCACTTTTCAAGCAATTTCTTGAGGATATGACTGCTGCAACGACAGACAGTTATTCGGCAATGGTGAACGATAATGTTTTGAGGTTGCTGAAACGTGGCTGACATAAATCGGCGCCGGCATGTTACAACAGCATTAACATCCACGTTCCGTGTAATAAAAGCGTTTTCATTAGGCTACGGTAAGAGTGTGTCCAGCGTTCTAAATTGCTCGTCCCGATGTTTCGTTGCTTGAAATATTCAACGGTAGATGATAGATTTTCCTGAATAATAATCATTTTCTTCGGCTACGATAATGGTTCGCGGAACGGATGAAAAGTTTCTCGTGATTTTCTGAACGTTAGAAATTGTACATTACCGGCGGGTATGGTGGGTTCAGCAACCGGGGTCACCGACAGCCCACACGATGTAAACGGAAAGTCAAGTAAAATCCTCGCGGCAGGGAACTAATGTGGCACCGGAAGTGGCCGCAGATATACTGCAGATCCATTTCTCTTCTTCGGTAGAATTCTAGATATCAAGGATTCCTCTTTTAACCATTTGCACTCGTATTTAGATTTGAGAACGGGTACCAATCAACTCGGAATTTCTTTTATTTATTCATTTTATTTTATACATACACACACATTTAAGCAGAAACTAAAAGAAAATATTGTAACAAGTGTCCCTAGAATGAAATACTAATGTAAGTATATGTATAATAATAAAATGTAGGATGGCGACTATATGGCGACATACGAGCGCAGCGGTAAAACGTATAATGTCGCCTCTATGGCGACATACGAGTGGAAAGGGTTAATAAATCTTCTTGATTTTAGAAAATATTGTTAGCGTTTGAAATATTAGTGATAAACGTATAATTTTTCAACGAAAAAATTTCATATATTGGTACAATTGTTAAAATTGGGACTCTCTCCATGGTCCGCCATTCGAGGATTAATACTGGCGTAACCTCATAAAAGCTATTAAATCAAACGATTGCTCAAATGACATCCGTGCAAACTAAATGCCGTCGTGTTTAATAAAAGCTATAAAAGTGAATGATGTTTATCATTCATCATAATTGCACCTCGATTCATATCGAGACGGTAGCTGATTAATGCCGTAGCCCAGAGCTGGTGCGCGCTAGTGACCATTAAAACGCGGCATTTATCGTACTCGATAATTGAAGATGCGTCGTCGGCTGCGTAAAACAGGTTGACGGTCTTATTAACGCATGAGCGATGCACAGCGTCGAAAAGAACACTCGCAGAGGCGTCGTTATACGTCATCCAGCATATTTCCCGGCACACCCATCCTGTCCCCTCCACGATTCCTTGCTTCCTACGATCCATTGATTATCCTTATTTACTCTACCATCTCCCTATAAATCCATAATCTCCTCGACGAACACTTGAAAATGATGGATCTCAAAATTGAAAAATTGTCAAAATTTTACTAAACTCAAAAACCAGAAGCGACTACATCGTAAAGATGATAATCCCCGTTCGAAGATGGATTTCGAAAGCAGTTTCTACCGGTCGGTAAGTGAAATCCGGGCGCAAAAAGCGGACGTAATTGGTCAATTAGATCGTTTTAATAATCGGCCGAATTACGATGATCTAGCGGCGAGTTTTGAGCGTTAAACGGAGCGTGAAGCTAGTATGCGCATCGAGTTTGTCCCCGATGACGAGGGAACGAACGCTTCGATCGAGTCGCGCTAGTCGTTCAATTATCCGAGACACCGTAACGAGGAAGCGTTGATTTATCGTCGAACATCGATGAAACGAGCGCTATGATACGTCTTGAAAACGAAGACTTGCTCGATCGTTAATTAGGCTGGAACGATTATTTGATCGATCTCGAGTTAACGACTTGTTGCCGGTATACGATGAAGGATGATACGCGTGGCGAGTTGGTAAGAATGTTAATTAAATGTAATTGGGAAACGTCTGTTTCTCTGAGTGCTTGTTCTGCTCGCCACTTTAGAAATAGTGCTCGTGTTTATGGAGATCAACCGTGCAGAATTGCTTCTTAATGAATACAGGAAGTGTTTCAATATAAAATGAAATAACAGTTGTTAAAGGCTGTTTCCTTGATTTTAATAATATTTTGACAACGTCACGCTTGATTTTCCATATCCTTTTTCTCATGTGAAAAGGAAATGACGTGAATTAGGGATGTGCCGGCCCGAGCCCGCCCGATGTTTCCCGAACCGACCCGAATAGTCGGGACTATTAGTCTACATATTAGTCGGGCCACACATCACTAATGTGAATAAAAGCAAATAACTAATAGATAACGAATCATCGATCAACAAGGATGTTCTTTATTTTCATAAGTTAAGATCGGATAGCTTCCTCTGTGGAAATAAAAAAATCGTCACGTGCGAGCGATTCCTTCGTTAATTGAACCGTTCTGTTAATGAAGCCGGCTTTAAAACTGTGCTCCCCCATGGAAGGGGCGCGTTCGAGCGGAGGAGAAATGAATGAATTCCATATTTTTAATTGCCGACTGGTCCTCTCGGCGAAGCTCCCTTCCTTCTTTTCTCTCTTCTTCTCTCCCTTTCCACGGTTACCCACGCAGCAACTCGCACGCGACAAAGCGCGCGTGCCACGCATCAAGCCGAGAGACGAGCAGGAGACCCTCGTTACGTTGAAATCAGCGCAGATTTATCGAGCAAATTGGATCGAGTCTCCTCCCGTCGTGGGGACCGTGTCTCGTGTGCTCCCGTGTCGACGTACAAGAACAATGCTTCTCAACCCTTTGCCACGGAAGTGGCTGACTCGGCGTGTGTGACTAAACAGTTCCACGAAACGCACGCTTTAAAGTTGATGAATCGAAACGCGTGCAAATGTTCGCTATTCGTGAGACAATTGGTGATTCAGGACCAAGCTCTTTTGTATAGTCTGCCTAAAATCATGGGTCATATTGAAACGGAGCTCACATGATCGATGGAGCGTCTATATAGCCATATTCTTTAAACTTTAAGTTTTAATTTCAGGTGCCATAAGTACTATTTGGCGATACTTTTATGTCACGAAATGATGCCTGTTCGGATGGAACAGTATTTAATCTTGAATACCATGTTTGTTTTCAGGGTGCTGAAACCCCCTGGTGGCGGAAGTAGCGACATTTTCGGCGCCGCGCCGGAAGAGACGAGCCCCCGTCGCGTGAAGAATCACAACCAGTCGCAGTTGGGCTCGGCACTGTTCGGCGATACACCGAATAGCAATAGCAACAGCAACAGCAACGAAACGCCGCGCAACAAGCCCGGTAATGATTCATACAAACGTCTGTTTGGCCCTCCCGATGCCCCACCCACCACCCCAAACGCGAAAAATCATATGCGCAGCAATATCTCCCTCAGCGGGGATTCGTCGTCGTCGTCATCGGTGTCGCTGGCCGCCGCGACGTCGCCCGCGAAGAGCACCGCCAGCTCGGACTCGATCGCGGGCGTTCTCAACGGCTACGCTGCCAGCAATGGCAACAACCTGACCAACGATGTCACAGGTAAGGCCGTTTATCACCTTCCACGCATCCGCCTCTCTATAAATCAGGAAAATGACAAAAATATACCTACACTGTCCTATGGTCAGGTGAACTCTGCTGTACGGTGCGAGCGAGAGAAACGTGGCTAACGAGCTACTGCCACAATAAATGATAATGATCTTTGATATTCGATCATTTGATTCTTTGTTCAAAATTTATTCATCTTTTTAATGGGACGAACCCAAAAGATTTTCAGAATATTTATAGGTGGATTAAGGGTTAAAAATATATTAAACTTGTATTATTTTTTTTTGAAATTCATTTTAAGGGGTTAAGTCGTCACCTAGAAATAATATGTAGATTTATTTTGAACAAAGAATATTAATACATTTAAATCTGGATCATGGTTTTGAAACAGCTTCATTTACAAAATTTTTATTTTATTTCTCTTTCATGCTGCAATTGCAATGGAAGTTTAATTCTATTTCGAAGCTTTTCTGCCTGAAACAAGTTTCAAAGTTATTCTCAATTCAATTAATTATTTCGTTTATTTTGATTCTGTTGTGCAATTGCTCGAACTGCAATTACACTTAAACTCGCACTGTATTCGAGCTACCTTGAAATATGTGTGTGTCGCAGGCTCTTTCGCGTAGCTCTGTCAAATTAATTTTTTTTTTTTTTTTATTTTTAATAAATCAGGATATATTTTTAGAGTTTTTACGCTTATTATATCACGCAACAAAGCTCGATGATTCGTTTTCATTGAGCTTGAAAAGAGTTTTCTTCGTTACGTTTTTATAAACAAATGAATTGATGGAAATTTTTATTTATTGCTTTCTTATTATTCGGTATGTGGAGCTAGCGAGACACGAATGAATCTTGTTCTTTCCCCTTGTGACTAATGATATGACTTACACCGAGTCATACTGTTGAATTGTTCGCAAGCAGCTTTTAGGAGAATCAAACGATTTCGTAAGTGTGGACTAAAGACACATTCAAGTAGATGACACACGACACTCATATCCCACACATTATGATTTTTAATTAAGAGTGTTCGCGTGTTCTGTTCCGCGGACTATCGTCATCGTTTTGGCTTGATTTATGTTGTCTATCAACCCTCGGACGACGGACCATGGAGAGGGTTCCAATTAATTTAATTTCGTATTTCATATTATTTTCATTTCCTAAATTTTACACTGTTCCTTTGAAAGTTATACTTTCGACGTATGAAACTTTTTCGTTTAAAAATTATATATTTACAAAAATAAAATAAAATCAATTTTGCACTGAAAGGGTTAATTGATATTAAAAGAGAAAAATTTGCCAATGTAAATCAAGCCATCAAACTCGCGAAACTTCCATATCGATCACTGTTTACCTTTTTTTTTATATTTCGTTATTTATGAATATTTTTGTAAAAGAATAAATCGCGAAGATTTTCCGATCGACGAGCACAGGGCCTGCTACGAGAATAAGAAAACACATATTTTAAGTTAGTCGCGTCATTTTCACGCTCTTTTTACCTGTTAAATTCGAACCGTTCACGCCGTAACTTTCTGCTTTCTGCGACAAATAATCATTTATTTCCCCGTTGATTTATCACGCAAACAATCTGAAAGCACACGGATTTTCGGCAAACAAATTTAACAATTTTTTACACCCTGTTTTTTTTTTTAATACGAAGATCTGATCAATTAGAATTGATTTTTATTAATTTCCTTTGATATTCTTTAGCAAATGAAATGAGATACAAGTTTCGAAGTTCAATTGTGTTTGCTTGATTTATTTTTTCTTGATGATTAACGTGACATTGATGAACTGTGAATTATTTCTATGATTTCACACGACTTATCGCTTGGATTTTTATGCGTGACCATTTCGTATGTATAAAATTGCTCATTTTATTTCATATTTTTCTTTTTCTTTTTACAATTTCGCTTTTCTGTGCCCTCGGGGTCTTGAAGCGACTGAATACGAATTACTTTACTGCATTATTGTTTCTGCTTTTGCTTGCATTATTCCACACAATCGTAGTATAAGTAGACTATTCTCTTCATTTCTTTTATACTTGTTCCTTCTGCGAACGAATCCAAGGTACAAAATGAAAAAAAAAATTGATAAGACGTAGCTTGATGAATTTTTAATTACACTTACAACAAGAAAGATTTGATTAATTATACTTTCAATGCTCAATTTTTATACAAGATTCCATACAATATTCATAACTTTCGTACTTCGTGAAGTTTAAATTAGTTTCTGAAAAAATCTTCACTAAATGGATCAATTTATATTGCATTGCTGCTAAGAAAAAAAAAATATATTTTTTTATAAATCTACTTTTCTATTCGTAAGCAACTTTATCTTCGAAGAACGATCTTGGTTTCGTTCGTTGGATGAATTAGTCGCGTGCATTAACACGAAACACGGTTGGGTGACGGTTTATGGGTTTTGCTACGATATGTTGGTGCATGGGGGTGGTGGTGATGGTGGTGATGAATTCCGGCGCGTGTCGCTTTTCGTGCACCGGCTGTGAACTGTCGTCCTCTCTGCCTTCCTACCCGCTCGAATCCTGGCAGGTGGATCGTCCTGCATAACGCGCAACCCGGTCACCGGAGACGGAGTTGACGTGACGCCTATAAGGCGCAGCGCACGAAGGTGTCGAGGTAACGTGGCCAATCAATTTTTCTCATTTTAAGCGACCACCATACGATTAAACTTCCTATCAACCCTTTCCTTTTCACCACCTTCAAAAACTTTCTTTTTGAAAAGCTGAAATATAGAAAATGAAAATAGAAATTGTGGCATTGCCAAACGTCATTAGAGTCAGTTTGTTAATGTTACAACTGTTGTTTTGAATTGAGTATTTGAGACGGTAAATAGATACTAGAACTAAATACCGTGCGTCGCCGACTTTCCGGACGGACTCTTGGTATCTATTGTATAAAGTAGCATAGTGTCAGGACGAGTCTGAGGACCTAGGAAACAATTTCTAAGTCCTAATTATATCTATCTAATGGTATTGAAGGCCAAAAATAGATATTTCACCGGAGGCAGAAGGACCACAGACTAAGTACCGTGCGTCGCTGACCTTCCGGACGAATCCTTAATACCTATGGGGGAGCATGGTGCAAGTAGTGATTCTACAAAGGAAAAATATCCTTGTGTTTTCCCACTTTGGATAAAAGATACTTATTAATCACACTAGAATTATGGAATATTTAATCTTAAGAGGATTATATTTCAATGGGTATTCTAAGAATCTGGGAAGAAGTGTTTGGTACATCCCCAGGGGTGAATATATTTGCATAATTCGAGAGCAATTTGATTGTTCTGTGCTAGTGCTTCAGTCAAACATAAATTGTATATTTTAATGTTGGTTATTTATGATATTAATTCCATGGATAAACCCATAAAATGTGTTAGGTACTTTAATTTTCACGTTTCATTTGAAAATAATTCCGATCAGTACAGTTAAAAAATACATCGAAACGATTCATATATCTTAGAAATATTGTACAACATCGTAGTTTTTTAAATTTTCGAATCGTCAAGAGGTTAAACAGTTTCTTAAATTCCTGTATGGTATTTTGGCAATGCCACAAAAGAGAAAAGAACCATATAAATTTGTTTACGAATGTTTCAGCTTTCACTGTTTTATCTTATCATTTCTTTACCTTATTTAGCATTCGTCCATGAATAACTTACGTATTATTCATCGTGGATGAAGAGGATTGGATTTTGTTTAAAATTTTGCGTGTGTGTTAATAATTAATTGCAGTGTTTTAGTTACTATCTTAATTATGTACTCTCTCTTCCAATACCTTCAACTTTTTTTCAATTTCCAATTCCTCATCCAACTTTGTTTTAAAAAAAAAAAAGATAATTGATGATTGTCCATCAAAATCCAATTTTCCCTTCCATTGTGTTACTTTTTCCACCTGGTGTCTCGTGGATTTGCTTGAATCTGCTTCAAAATTTTAAACAATTCATCATTAAATTTCTCAGAAATCTAATATTAATTAGTAGCATGATTCAAGCAATTCTTAGACAAATTTTCACCTAGGTCGACACAGATAGTCTGTGATAGAACGGTAAGTTAGTTTCAAACGTAGACAATTAAAACATCAAACCGAAATCCCTATCTGTCTTGCCCGTAGTTTTAAGTACTTATATCCAGCCTATCATTTATATTCGATTATTCTTTATCGATGCATCAATGATTGTTTCTTACATTTGACGCTTCATTACTTGGCCTGTTGTCCCTGTCCCCCTTTCGAACGGCCGGGGATAATGTAGATGGAAACTCGTGAAGGGATCTGATTGAACAGCATGTGATTTCGCGTGATATCATGTATCTCTATGACAATGTTATAAATCAGTGTATCGAACGCATCAAAACACGATTCGATACGCGTGAAATTACAGAACGATGGGTTATCTTTCTACTAGGAATGTGCGGCCCGACTAGTCGGGTCGGTCCGGTAAATATCGGGCGGGCTCTGGCGGGCTCGGGCGGGCTCGGGCGGGCGTCCGATACATGCGTGCCATTCGGGTAGCCCGACTATTTCAGGTTCAGTCGGGTATAGTCGAGCTGATACGGACGAGCTCCTGCGGACCGTAGGCTGCGGCCTAATTCTTATGTACTTGTTAATACTTGCAATAAGCATGAAAATTGAAATCAGCCCGACTGTACCCGACTGAACCCGAAATAGTCAAGCTACCCAACTGCACGCATCTATCAGACGCCCGCCCGAGCACGTAATATCCGGTACCCGCACATTCCAACTTTCTACGCATTTCACTTGAAACGCTATCAATAAAATGAAATCGTTTTTATGCTTCTGATAATAATTATTGCATGACCACGTATTGATAGGTAAATTGACTTTGGTCGAGCAAGGAAATCATAGGAAACTTAAAATAATTTTAATCATTAGAAAAATTAATTGTATCAGTCTTCTACAAGTTTATCAAACGTTTCTTATAATAATGCCATAGAGAAAGATACTTTAGATTATCCCTGTATAGGTGTACGAAAAATGGAGCACTGAAATGATTTCAATTTTCAGACTATTTGAAATAATCGCGTTATTTATGAACACCAATTATAAGAGTAATCTGGACGGCAAACGATTAATAACATCATTTATAATTGACTTTTATTGCCACTGTAGCTCCCATAAAACTTCATCCGTCAGTCAATCATGGCTATCACGAGAATCTAAGTAGTTAACACGTTCGCTACCATTGTTAGAGTCTGACACGATTTCATGACATAAAAGTATCACGAAATAACGCTTGTGATATGTCAATTTAAAGCTCAGAGTCTGTTCAAAATAATTACATAAAGATTTCGTCAATATTCTTAATATAACGTAAGATATGAGCAATTGAATATTAGGTATTTGCTGATGGACGACAATGCCAAAAAGCTGAGAATTCCTTGTCGGTTTTAATAAAGAACCAGTCGAGTTATGTTCAGAATATTGATAAAACCTTTATGTAGTCTTTTTTTTTAAATCTTAAGCTACAAATTGATGTGCCATAAGTGGCATTTTGCAATACTTTTCTGTCATGATTTTCTCCTTTTATACAATCAGTTACACAACATCTTGGTAGCGAACGTAAATACTGTATCTTGCATTAAATTTCAGTGTTCCTTTTGTTCTACCACACTCAATGAAAATTATCTCATTATCCATTAAACAAAAGAAATTGCCTATAAAAGAAAAAAAGGTATCGGCCAATGAAATGGGAAAACGTTAACTGAAAAACGCAAATGTTCTTCGCAGATGGGAATCCTGTGACTGGAACTGGCTACGCAGAATCGCAGAACAACGGTCCAACCGTGCAAAATGGAACGTCCAGCTCGAATTCCAGCATCGGCGAGAAATCGAACGACTCGTCGCCGGCGGCCAAGGTTCCAGCTCGTACACGCGTGCCACCCGGTGGCTATTCATCCGGATTGTGGTAAAAATCTGCAACAGAACGACCGCTAAATCGGCATGCCCATCAATGGTTGGTGCCGTTAATCCTTCCAGTGCAGAAGAATTTCTGCAAAAATTAAAATTCCTTCTGCCGGAACCAATCGTGAACATCGAAACACCCTATTGCACCCTTATTCCTTTTATTATAAAGGAACAATCGATGATGATTACTCTCATCATTTCGTTTATATTTCTTTTTCTTTTTTACATCGATTCCTTGTTGTATTTTTTAATTACTCATTCTTTTAGCGTTCCTTCATGTTTCGTGTTACCTGTTGAACGATTCACGAGGATGATTCTTCCTTTCAAGGGTTGATTCCGAAGCAGAAAAAAATGAAGAGAAACTGGCAGATGCAGATTACTCAGATTTTATTGTTTCTCTAATTAGAAAAATTTAAGTTTCAGTATTTTACATCCACCCTCGTTTGTTCGTTTTCTGCTTCATAATTAACAATCCAAACGTCGAGGTGTAAAGAATTATCTTGCGTGAAATTCGACAGTGTTTGTTCTTTGTGTTGTTTTTTTTTTTTTATATTGGAAACTTGAATCTTGTCCATTCTTTGAAATGGAATATTTGTAATTGAAACGATACTGGAAGGGTTGACGAGAGCTCCGGGGACGCAGAGAAGATACCGATTGTCATCCTTCTGACGAGATCCATAGGTCCCAATTGTCGAAACGGATTTATAAAAAAATGAAGAATAGTCGTTCAGTTTTCACGGTCAAAATGTCATTCCTCTCCCCGAGAAAATCTTCGTTTCCTCGGTTTTTCTAAGCGTATAACTTTTAAGGATGTAGAACTGTTCGTTGTTTGAATCGTGGGGGGAAAAAATATGATAAAGGGAAAATGGGCGTAAGATAGTTTCCTATTTTCGACGAAGATTTTTTCCCACGTCCGGCTGGTTCTCTTTTTTCAAAAATGCGCGCCTTTCTACGACGATTCTCAAGTGTATCTTTCATTAATTCAAAAAAGAAGTGACGAATTTGAAAAAGCGGTAAGGGTGAAAGAAAATGACACGGAAGAAGAGGTGATCTTTTGAATAACGATGAACTTTGGGACGATAGGAAAAATCGAGGAGAATCCTAGATAATTGGAGTGAATCCTGCCAAAAAAAAATTTTTTTCAGAGGCGAAACTAATCAGAAAGAACGCCAGGCAATCACACTGAACACGCTTCTTTAAATAAATAGACTGCTATCGGTTGGTATACTTTGAATAAGGAATTATACTTTTAACTTGAACGAGATAGTATGAAATTTCAATTGAAAAACGCGAACGTCCAGAGAGAAGAGAGAGAATGCTCGACTCCATGGTATATTAATTATTAATTAGTAACGTTCGACGAAACCTCGGAATTGTATATTAGAAGTAGACATATGTTATTCGACAGAAGTAATAATAATGATAATACTATTAATATTAATAATATTAATAAAAATACATCATGTAACCCATTAAAACAGTCAAGTGCTTTCTTAATTTCCGTGCCTTTTTAAATCGTATCTATTGTTTCTTCTGCATGAACGCCAATAACGGCGTGAAACAGATATCCATTAGAAAGTACGGTTCCTTTCTATCTTTGATTTCTTCTTCATTTTTGTTATTGTTACTTTGTACGCTCCAGTGAAAAGAAAACTTGGCTTCTCTGCGTCGTTCATTAATTGCGGAAAAAAGACTATTAGTTTTTACTAATTGTATCGTAGGATTTTAATTACACACAAAAATGGTCCATAATCAATTTTATCAACGTAATTACGATGATTATCATTCGGTCATATTTATCGCTGTATTATCTTACGGCCTCCCCCTTTAAACAAGATACCATGTAATCTTGTCGAATGGATTAACAATTATTCGTTTGTAGTCGTCATTACACACTTGCTTATTTTCCTTGTTTTTTTTTCACGATAACGCATAAGGAATTGTATTTCTTGTTTCAATAGAAAATACTCGTTGCACACTTTTCTCTCTCTTATGTTTGGAAAATAAAGAGAAGAAAAACGTTTCTTTGTCGTTTTGGTGTGAGTAAAATTACATTGTTTGTATCGCAATCGTATTCTCGTCTCATAAGTAGCCTTTTTGTACTCTGGCATTAATAAAATTTTGTAAGCAACAAAAGTCCCATTGTTTCTCTACCTTATTATTTAGTGGAAAACTAGGAATATTTATAAACCATCAAATTACAGAGGTTGTAGTTAATTTTATTATGAAAATATATGTATAATAATAATCAATAATAATCGAAAGCTACAACGGAACATAATAAATAGTTTATCGTTATATAAAAAAGAAAACAGGTAATACTGTAATACGCTTGTAAATATAAACTTAACATGGCCCTTGTTACAATTGCCGCTAATCTGAAACACCGAATATTTCATGATTCCCGCGATTTCATATTGCAGCAATGAGCTCCTTTATCGTTGACCCTTTTGCCTTGCATAAAGCTGCGAACAATTGTTTCTGACTTGTTTCCCGTTCGAGTTTCTTTGATATTTCATGTCCTCTATTTGTAATAACAACCGGAACTCCAGCTAATCGAGCTGCATTGAAACCGTACGACTTTGGACAAGCTCCTTCGCTCAGTTTATATAAGAATGTTACCGTTTCCTGAGTTACTTTATCCTCTTCCTCGTTTTCTACCATACATGCCTGAAAAAATGAATAATAAGAATTACAGTTGAAAAGCTGAATAAATTGTTCAAAATGCAAACCATATGAGCCAATGTAATGTCCTTATTATCTTCATAGTCTTCTACTAAAGAATGATAATGCGTTGAGAATAATGTACGACATTTCAATTTTGTAAGGGCATCTACAACCGAGGCAGCTATTGCTGTTCCATCGTACGTCGACGTACCACGACCTGTGAAATATTTTCAATTAACATATTTGTTTTTCTATCAAGGTTGTAATCGAGAGAACTTACCCAATTCGTCGAGTAAAACTAAGGAATATGGTGTAGCGTGCTGCAATATCGCGGCAGTTTCGGTTAACTCTACTAAGAATGTACTCTGACCAGCCAGAATATCGTCATTTGCTCCCAATCTTGTGAAAATACGATCTACCAGCGTTAAACGACAAGAAGCTGCAGGGACGTAACTTCCCTATAAGTCATAAAAGTCATCTTTCCTGTCTACATATAATATACCATCAATTTCACAGAAATACAACTAACAATTTGTGCCATTATGGTAAGAAGTGCAGCCTGACGCATCAATGTTGATTTACCACCCATATTTGGTCCAGTTAGGATCATAAATAAAGCATGATCTCCCGTTCCTAATAAAATATCGTTTGGTATGAAGGTGTCAGAGACAATGCATGGATGTCGTCCCTCTCGGATATCAATGAATATCTGCAAAATAGGTAAGGATTTTTAGTTTTTATAAATAAAACAATTTTGATTATATAAAACTACCTCTTCATCTGTATCATCGCTAATTTCTGGTACACACATATCTCCACTAAGAGCATATTCTGACAAAGAAATCAATACGTCCAACACTGCTAGTTTATAAACAGCCATGTTCCACATATCATATTTCTCACTAAATTGTGCAAATATTCTTCTGTTTAGATCTTTTAATACTTTGTCCTTGTGTTCTTCGGCGTTTATCTGTCGGCTCAAAAGTTCCTGAAAAATTCATTTAAATTAAGTATTTTTTAACGCGTTATACGATGCTGTTGTCAGTGAGAAAAATAAAACCTTGGCCTCAGCAGTATAATAACGCTTGAATCCTTTTCTCTGTGACTGAAGTTCATATCCTGAACCAACTTTCTTCACTTGCGAATCTGGAATCTCGATTTGATAACGTTTCTTATCACTTCCGTGGAATGTAACTTTCACACCAAAATGCCGTCTTTGCATTTCCAGATATTGTTCCGCGTCTTTCTTTATTTCTGCTAATTCCATTAAAACGGAATCATATTCGTCATCGACTCCTTTCTTTGGTATAATACAACCTACTTTTTTGGCCTCTTCATGATCGAACGCAGTCTAAACATACATATATTCAAAAATTATATCTTGTGCAATGTTAAAAATAAATGATATTAATTACCTTGAAATAATCCAACGAATCTCTTAATGAAGGAAATTCACCATCCGGTTCTGTTTTAGTGCACTGTTTTATTAATTCACTGTTGAAATCTAGAAAATAGAAATTATTTCCGATTCCGGTATATTAATGATGACTAAAAATTATGTAGAACATATTTAAGATACACACCTTCAAATAAAGCAACGACTTTTAATACATCCTCGAAACTACTAAGAGTAGTAGTGAAACCCAGAATTTTCCTCTTCGAATACGTTTGACCTTCGAACATAATTGCTCTGCCATCAGGATGGTTATTCATTCGTGCTAGATTTCCTTGAGCATGTATCCTAGTATTATACATTTATATATGTATATTAAACAATTCAACAAAATATTTATTTTACTCTGTAATAATGATTTTTATCTCACTTGCTTAACAATCTTTCAAGGTCAGGGAGACTAGCTAATATACTACGGGCATTTTGTACCACATCTGTACGGTCCATTAATTCTTGTATAGCTTCTTGACGCTGAAGTATAACATTTTTGCGGCAGGATGGTCTACAGATCCATTCACGCAACAATCTATAACCAAGTTTAGTTAGAACGATATAAAATAATTATTTTAATCTAATCTATACCTTTTTCCAAAAGAAGTGCAACAACGATCCAGCGTTTTCATTAAAGATCCTTCACCAAAAATTCTCAAGTTGTTAATAGTGACTGCATCTAGAATCTAACAATCATAATTATCATATGTGTATAATATCAAATATCTAATTGGATGAAATGTATAATTACCATATTATTCGCGAACTTCGAACCTGTAGAAGTTACACTTTTCGAGAAATCTGGTGGAGTATATGATTTGAAACGTCCTTGCGCAAGTAACTGTTGCTCAAGAAAATAGTCTTTAAGTAAATATATGCATCCTCCTAGAGCGTGTATTGCTAACTCTTTATCATCAGCTGGAGTTAAACCTAAACTGTCTCCTACATAAGAAGAAACGATTGAATATTAACAAAAATTCGACTTTACATTTGTGATATTACTTACCCTCATTAAGATACGGTTTTAAACCTTCAGGCCATGAAAATTCTGCATCTCCTTTCTTGAAATATTCTCCCTCGTGAAGATTCTACAAGAGTATTTGAATAAGTAACATGATTTTGAAACACTGAAAGGTGCGTTGATATTAAGCTTACTTTTAACGTAGTTGAAGATGACCAAAACTGAGATTCGCGAAGAAGCGGTTCTTTGATGCATGTCGCTAAAGTATTATTTAAAATTTGCAATGTTTTTTGAGACAAATTTCCACGCTCATAGACAACCTAAAACAGAATAAACACATTAAAATTGATATATTAAGTTAAGGAGTAACAGAGCGCTTACATGGACAGGTGGATGATGAGCAAATAAAGTCAATAGTTTAGAGCCGCAACGATCATCTTCAAATTGTCCAAGATAGAAGTCTCCTATTGTAGTATCCAAAAAGCACACTCCATAATGAGATATACCTGAACCAGAGGGGCATTTTTCAACAAGTGATAACAAATAATTGGAATTCGGTGTCGATGCTTCTACGTCCAATGCAGTGTATACTCTTGTACCCCTGGTACTTATTTGACAAATTTCTCTTTTAACGACCTTGTCAAATTTTGTTAATTTACTCACTGAAAAATACACAAGGTTAAGAATCCTTTTAACATAAATAAAATGTATTTATTTATAAACTGTCTCACTTTTACTGCAACGTTGTGCCATCATTTCTGGGTTCTCGGTTTGTTCTACTCTAGCTACTTTATATCCTTTCTCTATAAGACTCGACGAGAAACGACCATACCCGATTTCAGGAAACCCAGAATGCGCAAATTCACCCTGTAATTAGTTAAAATCGTTATGATATTGTAAATGTTTGAAGAATAATTGGATAACTTACTCTCATATAGGTAAGATTAAGCTCATTGACGCCGATAACAGCATCCATATGATACAATTCATAAAACTTTCCTACTTTGAAGAAAAGAACGCAATCGAAATGTTTGCTTTTCAATTCCCACCACTGTCTCATTGCCTGCAAAAATCCAGTCTTAGAAAATCTGATACCATATTTATGAACTAAATTTAAGAATATATCTTACTGGAGTCTGTTGATTTAAAAAGTCTAAGGGAACATAAACAGTTCTAGGATCATAATCTGGATCATTTGATGGTTTTCTATTGATATCTCTTATTTTATTTGGTTGCAGGAAATCATATTTTAAATGTCGCCAAGATTCCACAGTGTTATTTGAGCTTTGTATTTGATTTTGTTGAGGTAGTGTTGATTCCTTCTTATTCTAATGAAAATCAGATTTAATTAATTACATAAGTTGTAATTTAATAAAGTAAAATAATCTGTAATCATATACTCACTTCTTTAGGATTTCTTTTTGTTCTTCCTCCTTGATGCTTCTTCTCAGTAGGAATAGGTTTCTTTTTTTTCTAAAATATAACTTGCATTTAATAATCAGCACTTAAATTTTTTAAATATTGCTAATGTTTTACCTCTGGTGTTTCTTCTTCACTTGCACTCTCTAGTTCACTTTCAGGGTCTCCTTCAGATCCAGTATCAGACTCTTCTGATTCATGCTCTGTATTTATACGAAAGATTAAATTAGATTATGTTTCACTGATAATAAATTACAATAATAGTTAGGTTTAATATAGACCAGGTTTAAACTCATCCCCAGAATCTTCTCCAGAATCAACCTCAGGAATAATTAATCTTCGTTTCTTTGGTTGTGTTAATTCAATCTCCTTTGCCTGGTCTTCTTCTTCATCATCTTTGTAAACTCTTTTTCTGTCTTCAGCATTCTTATTCTCTTTTCCTTTGCTTGGAGTTTTGTCTGTGCATACATGTTAAAACTTAATTACTTTTTACAGCATTTACAACTTCAAATACGTTTCGAAAATTATTTTTATCTTTTTTAAATACATAAGAAAGATTATTAATATAACTGATAAATTAAATTAAGTATTCAAATACAAAATATACCTTTGTCCTTTTGTTCTCTTCTTCGTTTCGGTGTTGAAGGTTTTTCAGCCGGTACCGATTTATTGTTCGATTGTTTCGGAGTTTTTGGTGACGTAAAGTAATTATACAATGTATTTACTTTAGACATAATGTTTTTTGTAAATAATCCAGAAATTATATAATATTATTCGTTTACATAAATCTTTTTCCAATGCGAATATGTCTTGTACAGCCACATGTGTATCAAAATCCCGGCAAAATTTTGGTTTTCATAAACTCGTTGAAATAAGATACTGCGTTCTTAAACACTATACTATTTGATTGAAGAAATTAAATTAAAATTATACAAATTGACTTTCAATAATATATTTATATAGAATGAAATGTCTGCAATCAATTGGAATAATATGCAAAGTATATTCAAATTGCAAATTTTGTTTCCTAGTGGCATTGTTGAGAATAATATTTCTTTTAGAGAATTTCATTCGTTCAGCTGTCAAAATAATTTTTCATATTGGTGCTCCTGTCTGAAGAAAACAATAATGGCGTATTCGGTGAACGTTTCCGTGGAAGCACCGATCGAGAATCAGATTCAAGAAATTACTTATGATGGCCAAGAAATTTATCAAGCGTACGTAGCTTATTCATTAAGAATTTACAATTATGAATTAATCAATTAGATGAAAATTAAATAAATTAGCTATACATTTTATCCAACCTCAACATTAGTGCAACGTTTTTATTTACATCTTGTATTATGTCTTACTAAATTAAACTATTTGCTCGTTTTCAGACCTCTTACACTCTCTGAAAACTTGGCAAAAATCGCGCAAAAAATTGACTTCAGCAAAGCCAATGGAGAAGACATTAAGAAAGAATCTGAAGGTGGAGAAAAGGGCGAAGAAGACACAAAAGACTCAGCTTCTTACCAGTTGTCCTTATGGCCATGGGATAGCGTTAGAAATAAATTGAGGTTTCACAGATTATTTCATCATTATTTATACATATTTAGTTTCAGAATAAAAGCTATAGTTTTATTATCATTTGTAGGAATGCATTAACAGAAGTATGCGTATTGGCAGATGTTCTTGCAATTGCAAAAGAAAAACATTATATGGTTCTTGATCCTGTTCCCCAAGATCCAGTAGAAGTAAAGTCTATGATACCAGTTTATGCCAGAAAGAAAGCATTAGCTGGAGCAGCCTCTGTTATTATGATGGGTGCTGATAGATTGAAGAATTGTCAGAATGAGTTAGCTAGAAATAGAACAACTCCAGATTTTCATATTGAATTACTGAGATTGAGGCAAAACTGGCGTTTGAAGAAAGTTTCTAATTCGATCATTGGTGACCTTAGTTATAGAACAGGTTTGTAATTATGCTTTACACACTGTAAGTCATTATTGAAAAAATTACACTAATTTCATGAATGTTTATAGCTGGTTCCAAATTTCCTCAAACTGGTATGTTTGAAGTTACAAAAGCAGAAGAAGAAGAAAAGAGTAGTAATAGTCCACCAGCTTCTCCTAGCACTGGTAATAATATATCGGGTCAGACTCATCCTCCAAATTCTAAGGCTTCTGCACTGAGAGTTACCATACCTAGCGAATTGCAAGGTGTTGCTTATATCAAAGTATTATGTCAGAAAGGTAAATATACATATAACATGCTTATGCTTTATATAATACTGAAATAAAACATTATCTTTTAGATCAAGAAGATCTATGCAGTGCAAATATTAGTTTACTTAATAATAGTGCACATAGTTCAAATGCAGACATGCATTGGCAACAGAAATTAGAGGCTGCGCAAAACGTTTTATTTTGTAAAGAACTATTTAGTCAACTAGCAAGAGAAGCGGTGCATTTACGGGCGCCTATACCTCACATGGTTGTTGGTAATCAAATAATGGCAACGGTAATTTCTATTTCTTTGTGATTGGGATGTGTAGCGCACAGGGTATTCTACAAGTTTCATTTAATTTTAGGTACTTCCTGGAATTCAGTTAATTATAGGACTTTGTCATAGTACAGGAAACGAGAAAAAACCTGCTGTTCCACCTCCTCATAAGATTGATCACGATCATGTATTGGAACATTCACTACATCAATTACTACGTGAAGTACATCACAAAAACACTCACCATCCATTTCCACATCCTTCCTCAGGTCCTCTTGGCCCTAGTAAACGAAGATGCTTAGCTGGTCCAACTGCCGCCGATAGACACGAACTCTTAGAAATGACAAAAAGTCAAACTCTTTTAGAACAAATTATCCAACAAGCTCAACATTTCTTTATGCGGCGACGTACCGAATACGTTTTAGACACAATAGCGAAAGAAGTTAAAGATCCTTTAATCGTTTCTCATTGGAATGCATTGAATTCTCCTACACAGTCTTGCGTGAAAATTAACATTTTAACCCATGGATACGATACCGTATGTCGGACGTCACTTGTTGTTCATGTGGGAGAAAGGTCTTTAAAGTGTGTTTGTCGTGACGGTAGAGTAATGCATATGAGTTACGAACCTCAGGAATTACGAGACTTAATATTTTGTCAGGTAGATTATTATATTTCTTTTTATTGTTTCAATTGATGTGGAACATTTATAAATATATGCTACATTATTCTAGATTTATCAGCACCAAATAACAGCAGTACAATCGTTAGCAAAGTGTATGGGGTGGCAGTTTTTAGCCAACAGTTCGCATCTTGGTTTGGGTGCAGTTGAACCTCTAGGAAATGCTAGCAGTTGTATTTTGGCTTCACCAATAGGCGACAGGTAAGCATTTGTTTCTTTTTTATTTATTGAAACTTAAAATTTATTAACAGGTAAATATTATTCGGGATTCTAGGATGATAGCCGTTAGATGCGAACCACAAACAGGAGTACAAGTAGCAATAGCTCATTCCCCTAGGAAAGACTTTTTCCCAGGACAGTTAGTAAGAGAAAGAAAATGGGAAAACTTAGGTGGCTCTTTTAAGGAAGTTCGATGGGATAAAATGGAAGGAAAGAACTTTTTAAATAAAATGGAGTTACTCATGGCTTCATTAACAAGCTCCTAAATTTGATCAATGACTGATTAGGAATGTAATTGTCCCACAGGGTGAAAACATATTTTTAGATTTTATTTTGCATCTGAATACACACATTAGTTGTATAAATACTACGTGAATTTATCCAAGCTGTGTTTCATATCTGTGATTAATATTGTTTTTCAATTTTATATTTGAATGTCTTAACATGCTTGAACATTCTTTTCCTGAAATAAAATAGCACTTAAAATATTCTTACATTTATTTCAATTTTAGTAACAACAATTTATTTCATCCTGTGGTATTTGTTATTTGGAATAAGGATTACAATTAAATATATCTTTGGTTGTATAAAAATGGTTTTTATTTGAGTGACATATGAAATGTAATATGAATTGAGTAATAAATCATCATGAAATGGTAAGTGAAACACAATGCCAAATATACAGATGTGTATATTGAACACCTAAATTACAAATGTTAATGGATTTTATATGTATATACAAAGACTACTGAACAATTCCTTATGTATTATCATTTGTATAACCTTTTTGAATAATTTGGTTTTAGATATAAGTCTTGAATTAATGCACAAATTTACTCTTTGTCCAATAGAACATGTACATGTATACATGCATACACACATTCTTAAATATGTACATTCATACTCAGTTTCTTTTTGTTTCTCTGAAATACAAGAGGATATTGTACGTTTTAGTACAATTAAATTTTGTATCGAAATATCTTGATTTAGTTACACATTTGTTCCAGTGGATTAAGGGACGGACTAGCAGCTTAACCACAGAATTCTGTGCTAGAACGTATTGAGATTTAATAGAACAAATTATTCCAGGAAATCTTTTCAAAATGGATTCAACTACATACTTTCAATACATAAGAAGCATTTATATTTTGAACAATGATTAATACTGATACACTTAACATATTTTTTATCCCCTGGATTTGTACAAATATATTCCTGATCACCCTTGGCTCTTTAATATCAAAGAATAAGATATGATTTGTTAATTTAACATCATACGTTCTTACACATAGTGTATATTAGAATAGTAAACAATTTTTTTTATAGAATAATACCTTAAAAAAACGTTTGTCATTCTGTGATGTTCACTTTTGCTTCAACTTTCTCATCAATGTTTTCATTCTCACTTTCTTGTAAAACAGTGAGCTATGTTTTGAGCTCTGCCACCCACAACTTTGAATGCAAGTGCAGTTGTCATTATCAAAACCACATAAGCAGATAAAGTAGTGGCTATATAAGTTTGATATACATTTAACAAGGTCATACATGACACAAACAAATGTGAGCCAACAACCCAAATAACTTGTCCCCAATTTTGTTTGTCAAGAGCAGAAAAGAATATAACGCCCCAAAATGTATGGAGCAGAACAAAGCACAGAGTGGTGGCTGCTGATATTATAAAAAAGTACTCTGTGCCTTGTCTAAGTCCCATAGTTCCAGGCCCAACTGCATCTGCTAGGACGTTAACTAGAGCAAAGGCACCGCTCATAAAACCAAAACCTAAACCGCACACATAGGCGAATACGTGTCTGCTATCTGCTACATGTGTCGTTGTTACTTTTTCTAAGCCTCTCTCAGCTTTCCTCAGTACCCAATATAAGAGATACCTATGTGCAATAAAAAAGTTAAAATATATATTGTTTAAGTGAAGTATAATGAAAACAGAATATATAATCGAATATGAAATATGTTTTGTAAATATTTGAATCACCTGAATGCTTCTTGAAACAACACAGAAAACACCAGTCCAAATGCAAGGTGATTTTGAAGTGGTACCACAGCATACCATACAATCGACGATAACAATAAAGAAATAAGCCAAAAGAAGGCACTTGCTATTAGTATAATAATTCTAATGGGTTCGGTCGCAACGGTGAATGTAAACATAGCTAATGGTGGGCCAAAGGCCAAAAAGGCACAACCAAAAAAATCCATAACTGTCATTTTTAACGTGAGTAGTGCCAAATCACTTTTTATATTATAATATCACGTTAATCAGATCGCTTTAAAATGCTAAATGTTCATAACCTTATGAAGCCTTTGCACGGCTTGAAAATGACTTCTTAGAGGGTACATTTATTTCCCTCACTAGTTATAGAAATACGAAAAAAGCGATAATAATGGAATCAAAGTCGCGTGAATCACGACAGTGACGAAACCCTTGGCACACGCTACGCGGAGTTTTCCTTAAAAAAATGTAAACTTCTCGATAGAGAATTTCGATGTATCGATAAGCTGTATTCGATGTAGCGATATTGCCCAAATTCTTTGGGCCAAATGCACATGAAATGTCTTAACAAATTCTTTGTCATGAAAATCTCCTTAATTAATTTCTATCGTAACAAATATGCATACACGAGTATGTACATAGATAGAAATTATCATTTATAAGAAATTATCACTTATCAAATGAAAATTTATAAAAGATAAAGATAAAAGATAAAAGATTTTCTGAGTTTTATTTATAATTTCTTTTATACACAAAAGAAGGGTTCTTTAAATTCGTGTCACATTACTGTCGACATCGATTATACTCCTATGAAATGATCGAGCTCTCGCGCATTTTCTTTCGGCCCTGCGTGTGTATACATTCGCTCAGCTGTTCTGATTAGAAGTGATCGCAGCTCATCTGATTGCACAAATTCTCGAAGCTTTGGAATTTATTTTTAGCACACGTGCCATGTCGGTTTGGTATGATCCTCGTGGATTTTTGCTGCGTAAGAGCATGTTATTCGGTGTTTGATTCGGTCGATATACGAACGTTTCTCGCTGATTTAACAAACTCGCTCGCTCTTCACGTTAGTTATCACAAGTTTGACATTAATCCGAGATCGATGTGCCCCGCAAATTGACGCTCAATTTTCACCGTGATAGTTAAGGATTAACCATGAAGAAGACACGATCGAATATTTTTCATGATATTTATTACCAGCCATACGATGATTGTACCAGGATGAAGCTTTACTCTAGCAGTAAAGGTATTCTAAATAATGTATTTCAAAGCAAAAATTTCCGATAACGTCATTGTGAAGTGAAACACTGTAATGTACAGAACTTTTTTTGTTTAAAACGTAAATAGATTATTGAAATTCATTTCAATCCTCGTTTAAATATAAATATTATAGTTTACTTAAATAGTAGTGAAAAGACTATTATGTTTTTTTACAATCTTTATATTTTGTTTTGTGTCAATACGTTCCAGCAAGTCTTCAAATGGTGCAGCGTATGGCATTATTAAAAAGATTAAAAGTTCATAATGGTTGTGTAAACTCTGTTTGTTGGAATGCTACCGGTGATTTGATATTATCTGGTAGCGATGATCAACACCTTGTACTTACGAATGCTTATAATTATGAGGTAAGTGTTTATCACCAATATACATATGTTTTTACATTTAATCGTGTTAAGAGCTTGTTTAAAGAAATAGATGACAATTTTCTATAAATTATAGCTGTGTAAAGTATTACTGATGTTTGCACAATATTTTATTATTAGTTATTCTTGTTATATATTATTAATTTTGAAGAAAAAAGATTTATAAGCAAATTAATTGTATAACATGTTCAATGTATGATAAATAATGTTACTATTTGTTGCATTAAGATATACATATATTTATGAGTCTTGTAAAATTTTGTGCCAGGGTTATTTATAATTTTCACCTTTGACAAAGCACATTTTAGAGATGAACACATTCTTTGTTCTTCCATGTGTTATTACATTTTAATTTCATTTGATACAATAGTGATAATTTTAATATTTTTATGTCTTACGTCTATAATAGTACATACTTCATATATTAATTGAAGCCAAATAGAGGCAATTTATTGTTAATAAATTTATTGAATTAAATTCCAATTAAAGAAATAAATTTAATAGAACTTCTAAATCTAATTTTGATATAAATTATCATTATTTCTAATTTGATATTTATATGTTATTGTAGTATTATCATAAAATAAGATTTTCTTTCTTTGTTTCTATATAATGAGAATCTATTATGTAAGATTGATTGGCACCAAATTCATTGAAAAGAAAGTATACTCAAGGAAGTTACATTGGCAATAAACCTTTTTCAAGGAAATATTGTAGATAGTTAATTCTAGTCAAGGTCTAACATTGACATAGATAGAATTGCAGAAGCTTTGCCAAATGAACAAAAACTTATGTGCATGATGTATGCAGTGCTAATTTTATCATTTAGATCCATCAATCTAGAACTACCTTATTAATTAAACAGAATAAGAAGTTTTACTCGTTTAATAAAGAAAATTATGTCAATAATAAAAAGAAAGATTATGCCAAAGATTAGTGGATCCTTTTTATATTATTGTTTTTATATTACAGGTGTTAACAGATTGTAAAACCAGTCATAGAGCTAACATATTTAGTGCAAAGTTTTTGCCTAATAGTGGAGATCATCGAATAGTTTCATGTAGCGGCGATGGCATTATTTTGTATACAGGTGATAATCTGATAATTTTTTATTTATCACAATGTATTAGTTCAGCTTGACTGGTTTATAACAATAAAACCTTAACGCTTGCTTGCAGATTTAATGAGAAGGACTAAAACATTTCATAATCAATTTAATTGTCATAGTGGTACTACTTATGAAATAGCAACAATACCTGGCGAACCACATAATTTTCTAAGTTGTGGGGAAGATGGAAGCGTAAGATGGTTTGATTTAAGAATAAAAGATAAATGTAGTGCACCCAGATGTACAGAGGTAAATGAATGAATTACAAAAGTCATATAAAATATGGAAGTATATTCATTGCATTTAATGTTCCTACAGGATGTATTAATTTCATGCGAAAGAGCTATAACTGCCTTATCAGTAAACCTCACTTCACCCCATCAAATAGCAATCGGTTGTTCTGATAGTACTGTTAGAATATTTGATAGAAGAACACTTGGCACACCAGCTACTGGTAACTACAGTGTTTCATTTACTTAAATGATCTAACAATGTTCAGGAAAACTTAGATATTGAACAATTTTCTAGGCTGGACAGACAAGGCTAGAGCAGTAAGGCCTATATGCAGTTTCACTGTTCCAGAATTTGAAGGAAATTCTCATAGAATAACATCCTTAAATTACAGTCCCGATGGGCAAGATGTGCTTGTTAGTTACAGTAGTGATCACCTTTACCTGTTCAATGTGAAGGTATTCAAAATATATCCTTTTCTTTTGTCAGCAAAGTAAATGTATTAAATAATTATTTAATGTAGGATCAAGCTAGTGTACACTTGAAAAAAAGTATTGGCACAGGAAAAGGAATGGGTAAAAAGAAAAGGTTACGCTCACCGTTACCGGTACGTAGATTAAGACTCAGGGGTGACTGGTCTGATACTGGTCCCGATGCTCGACCTGAATGCGAAGGTGGTCGACGTAGTGGGACAGGTACATTACGATTATTATATTTTTTTTCGTCACCTTCTTCGTGCAGTAAAACATATACTTAACTGTGTTTTAGAAATTGCTCAAGCCAGGCCAGTTCTTCATACGTCGTTGATGCAAAGAATGACAGATGTTCTCAGTAGAATGTTAAATGATCCAGCCACCAGGGCAGCGTTGTGCGGTGGCGGTGAGGATAGTTTGGAAGGTGTAATTGATAATCAAGAAAACGCGCAAAATAACAACGAAAATGTCACGGAATCCACCGAGGAAAGGCATAACGAAACTGAAGGAACAGAAAGAACTTCAGCTCAGAGTAATCAGGAAACAGGTAGTTGACTATATTTTATTTGAAATATATGTATTTAAATTAAGTTATAGCGATAAATAAAGCAAAACTATACAGATATTTCAGAACAACCCACTGACAGACCCGAACATCCAAGTTGTAGTGGTACACAAAGTAAACCTGAAACAAGTTATTCCGCGGAAACGAAAGAAGAAGCATCATCGGAAACTATGCCTTCTAATGAAACAACCGATGAAACATCAGTTGAATGCAAATCGTATGTTCCTATGGAAACTGAATCTAGTCAAGTAGAATCACAAAAGTGTTCTGTCCAGCCTTGTTCTTCGCGCGATGCGGATAATTCCAACGATGCTCCGGAAGAAGATCAAGTTAGTAGCGACGATTCACCGTGTACCAGTATGGGAAATAAACAAGAAGGTCACATGATGAAAAACCTTCAAGATAGACTAACGAAAATGAGAGTTGGTTTTCTTGAAAAGTACGATACCAGTTGCTAAATAAGTAACGTTAACGCTTTGGTAGGATATTTTCATTCTTCTCTGTCTTATTTATAGACACGGTAGCGAGCCTGCTGTGAGTTTAACTTATACAGACAAAAGTTCAACGAGTGCTACGATATCTCTCGGTGTAGCTGATGAAATGATTCGCGATGGTTATCATGCAGGTAATTGCTATCGATTTTCAGTATCTTTTAAATTCTCTTTCTAATGGAATGTTTTTCGTAGGACCATCTGGAAGTTGCAGCAGCGGAACATTCTCTGGCAGAAATCATGACAAACACATACGATATAACAATACACAAGAAAGTGAGTATATCGATGTAAATAGATGTGTATCTTTAACAAGATCAGAAATCATGTGTTATCTTCTTGACAGAGACTGATGAAAGTGATTTTACTGATAGTGACGACGAAGATATACAGTCCGGAGAAAGGTATATTATAAAACATTTGAATTTTATAATGGAAACCTTCTTCTGTACAATGTTCGTATGAAAGAGAAAGAAGAGTTATGCACACATTTCTTTTTTCCTTGTTTAATTTAGATTAAGAAATACAATGGAAACAGACATGGACGAAGCCGTCGGCAATGCTCGGTCGCGTCGAGGATCTGCGACCTTTGATAAACAGTGCGTAACGGAGCTTCGCGTGAAGCAAAAATATATGGGGCATCGCAATGCTAGGTATACTTTCTCATTCGTTATTGTGATAACTTTATTTTGATGATCACCAACAATTAACGCAATTCATGCGCAATATTTATGTCGTAAACCTTGAGAAGGCTGTATAATCAAAACTTTGTGACTAAAAGATTAACAGAATCATTCTTTTTTTTTTTCTTTCATCATAAAAATCTTTTTTTAATCGGATAAGTTTTGTTGGGTGATGACAATAAGAAGCGTGGTAAAATTTTTACTATTTTAGCCAAATTTTGTTGGAGTTAACAATAACGTTAACTTACCGAGTGTTCTACTCGTCTTTGAATGTACGTGAGATGTTTGATCAATCGGAAACCAAAGTTTTTGACTTGTCAAGTTCCGAAAAAGCCTTCGAGCGGACTGGGCCATTCCGTACAAGCCCGCCATATTATCTGATCAGTTGGCCTTCCCTCGTTTGACTCTAGTTTCTTTAGGACTATGATCAAGGAGGCGAACTTCTGGGGCAACGATTTCGTCATGTCGGGTAGTGATTGTGGCCACGTCTTTGTATGGGAGAAGGACACGGCGAGATTGTGTATGTTACTCGAAGCTGATCAACACGTGGTGAACTGTTTGCAACCGCATCCCTACTTGCCTTTGTTGGCTACCGCTGGTATTGATTACGACGTTAAACTCTGGGCACCGATAAACGAGGAATCTAGTTTCGACGAAAAGTTTGCCGAGGATGTAAGTCACATTGAGAGCGTACCTTATCGGGCACGTTACAAACAACGATAAGACATATACTTTTTTTTTTTTCACGCTGTTAATGTTTACAGCTAAAAAAGAGGAACGCAGTCATGTTGGAAGAGACCAAAGATACAATGACTGTACCTGCTGTATTTATGATCAGAATGCTGGCATGTCTCAATCAGATACGCAGAGGTAGTGAACATTTATAATAATACTTCCCCAAGACCTACTGATAGTACGCTACACTAGTAAATGACCAACGATACGTAAATTAAGAATAATATTACCGAGGAATTTGGCAGCTTTTCTTGTTACGTGCAGGTATTCAAGTACATAACGGTGTATAGAATTTTATCTGACTATATTTCCCACGTTGTGAATGTGTCTAGCTTTTATTATTTCACCATTTACAACCATTAAATTTTCATCGTATTCAAATTTCTTTTTTTTTATTATATATATATATATATATATCTATCTATATCTTTATTTTTTTTTAGCATTATATAAAGATACTTGTGGTGATGTATCAGGTACACACACACTTGTTTGCAATTTAATGAATACAGATGTATAATATCGTTAAAGCTTATCAAATTTTATGTTGTATAAAGTTTAAGGGGAAAAGTCTCCGAGAAGATCTCGGAGTAAAGTACAAAGTCTTAACTTATTTCTAAGCCGTAGAGGCTAAGTATTATAAATAAAACAAAAGGCATAAATAGAAAACTGAACAATAAACGTAATAACTAACAATGAAGGTAAAAAACAGATTTTGTAATTTTTTATGCTACTAAAGAAAATTTTCATATATATATATACATAAGATAGATAGATAGATAGATAGAGAAAGAGAGAGAGAAGAAAATACTGATGGAACAACATGTACATGTAATGTCGCGTCGGTATTACTATCTAAAAATTATTGTAGCGATGAAAATAAAGTTTTTAATCAAAACACAAGAAAAATATCTTTAATACACCAGGAAATGCGTGTTGAATTGTCTTTTTTTTTCTTTTTTCTTTTAGTTTATCATTGCAATGAAGAAGAAACGTGAACGAGTATAGTTACATTGCGTTCTTTGTTTACTCAATAAATAGTGTTAAAATGATATTGTTTATATTGTAACAGTGCAAACAGGTATCTTATACCATATTTTATAAACACATATTCCATCATCTTTCTTTATTTCCCAATGTCACGTAATATAATCAAGGAAAATTTCGAATCAGTATCGTTAATTTTCTTCATTAATTCATGATAATCACGTTTAAAATTAGTGAATTCAATCGATAACGATCATTCGATTAAACTTATCTGTACTAATCATTTTAAATATCCAAACAATGTGTGTGTACTCATATATCAGATTTTTCTTGTAATTGTATTAAACACTCTGATCTCTCTTCTCACTATGTCACATTCAAATGAAGCTATGAAAGAAATTCATAACTTTCTACTAGAAGTACCTGCTACCCTTTCTGTATCAATTTTTTTTGTTTTCTTTTTCAAAACAAACACGACATTCTGTTCGTGAAGAATGCACTAAAACGTCTTGCTAACTTCGATCAACATTCCTCTGTTAGAGAAAGCAAACAAGTAGCTCTATCGTTAGGCGCTTACCCCGGTAGAAACGAGATATTACAGAATAATTCCGGTTCTTTTGTAGGACGCGGTCGGAACAGGCGGAGGGGCGGCGATGAGAGCGGTGAATTAAGAGGTGGCTAAGCCGTTTTCGACGATAATGCCGATTGTGGGGAAAAAAGCGTCAATCCGATCCGAGGACGACTCCAACGAAAGCATCTTATCAACGTCGACGACTGACAATTGATTAGAAAAGTTCCAGCAATTACAGCTATAAAAAAAAAAAGAAATGGAAAAAAATAGAAATCTATATTTATGATTTATCGTTACAAAAATAATTGAACGAATATTTAATCTGATAAGCTTTGAGTACCGTATCATTATTGGTGAGAGATAAGCCGTTTCTTTTGTTTTCTCTTCTCTGTCGGTTCCTTTTTCGTCCTTGTTCTATTTATAACGCGTTTCGCATAAGTTACATGTATTTTGTTTTGCCGACTTGTATGAAAGTTACGAAGGCTTTTTCCCTTTCGTTTTTCTGTTTTTTTTTTTTTTATATACGGACATTTCAATGACATTATTATTTTGAATGGAACCACGTTATTCAGCGTTTCAAGACGCATTTAATAACGCGAAGATAAGACACGCGTTTATGAGCAAATCACGAGATTTTTCTAGGTGAATACAAATGTGAAAGATACAGAGTTCAATTGTTGTTGTTAATTTTTTATAGAGTAATGTGATTATTAATTACAAAGTAGTGCGATTAAAACAAACGTATCTGGTTCCATTTAAAGCACGAAACGTGTTAAAATACATTTATCTTTTTCTTTTAGATAGTAGAGTAATACATTTCTGTGTCGTTGATAATTCGAGAAATAAATTATATATGGTGTTTCATAACATGGATAAGTAAATCAATCCATGAATTTTTCAACTAATGAAACCTGTTTTCCTTTTGCTCGTGTAACAAAAAAACCCGGCAATGTTAATTTGATATATTTTCTTATGCTGAAGTATACTCCACATAGTATGAAACACCATGTAAATTCCATATAATTTTTGTAACGCAACGCGTTACTTTCACCTGGTTACCTTGAAATGTAATCTCAACGAATTGAAAACATGTTCTTGAAAGGATTAAGGAAATTTCGCGTGTTTGTTTGTTCTATTTTCTTTTTATCTTCTTGTGTGATTAAACGACAAAAGCTTCGATTAATTAATTCTGTTGTTGTACATTATCGAGCATAGTAGGCTTCCATAGAAAAAATGACGTCAAAACCTTAATTTTGACGATAGTAATATTAAAAGTGATTTAGAAACACAAAATAACATCCTTTTAATTATTAAATGTTACAAAATTTAGTACATAACTGAAAAATACGAATACTAAAGTAAATATTAATTAAAATTTTTCCGCGTAAATGATTATATGCAAGTAGTGGGGAGTCACGGGGCCTTCTACTCCTACATCATTTTCCTTGGGACCCTACCCTGGTATGGACTGGGAACTTGGGAACTCGGGAGAGGCTTGGAAGCCTACCATGCTCAGTGTTGTACAGTGTCTTGTCGAACTGAATAATATAGCTTTTAGATTGTAGATTCGTTCACGCCTAGTTTGCGATGGTGCGTTTGCGATGTAGAGACGCTTTTGCTGGAGAAAAACAAAAGAACGTTTTCTTTTAGATGTTTAGACATTTCAATGAAAATAAAACGAAAAGGTTTATCAAAGGATAACACCGCAGATGAATTATGAAAAAATAGATCATTCATATATTTTTATCACACAGTTCAGGGTGGTTTAGAGCATCCTTATCATTTTTATGTCACATCTTACCTTATCGATTGCGATTCAATCATAATGTTATTGACGGTAGGAATTAAAATCAAAAACTTTGCGCGCAGGTTCGAATCTCGATGTGCCTTTTTATTCTTTTTCGTTATTAAATTTAACTTTTCTATTATATATAAATATATATATATATATTGTGTAAACATAATTGTGGGAAATTTGACAAAATCAAATTTCCAAAACTAGCGAATTGGAATACCTCTTTTATTATCATCTTCACCTGATACAAAATTTCGATTTTATTCACTTCCTGATTCAGTTTCTACGTATGTACTGTAATTCCTGTGTTACAATAATTATATCTACTCTTTAAAGTTACTTATAGGAGTAGGATGTGGGAAAAGCAATGCTAAAACATTAATTTTTGAATTCTTTTTCATAAGATGCTTTTATCGAATAAAGAAAATGGTTTTTACTATGTATCATCTTTAATATTTATTTATTATATAATACTGTTCAATATTACTTGATAATATAACAATTTTTATTTCTAGATCCCGTCAGTGACGGGGCTACAGTAATACAAATTTCAATATATTTTAGAACATTTCACATTTGTTTAATACAATATTCTTGTATCTTATTTGTAACTTATTAAATTAAACTCAATTTTAATAAATATATAAAATGTTCATTCCCGATAGTTCTTTTATTCCAAGCGACGTATGTATGTATGTATGTATGTAAGTATGTAAGTACATACATATTGTACATGCACTCTCAAGCACGTTCGGCGTTCCTTTAGGGAAAATGGTAGTCTAAGCCAGCCATATTTTCATATGTCTATGAAGCCAGCAGAGGGGAAGGTGTCCCCACCACTGAGAGTATGATACCACGAGCCGCCAGGCATTATGCCTAATCCACAGCAGACACTTTTGTATTCAAGAAGTGACCGTGTGCTGTTGGCAACAAATAGCGGATAGCGAATGACGAATAATGAATAATGAATAATGAATAAACGAAATAACGAAAGAAACGAGATTCTACGGCCGCTAATTTTCGGTGGGCGAAAGGGAACCAAAGTTCCCAAAGTACGCCACCCTCGCAGATAATGCATCCTTAAATCTGCTATCAGAGGGAAACTATAAAGAAGAATTACCCGTCTAAAACGCCATCTTAAGCGGAGGCGTCCAAGTACCAATCATACATAGATACATAGAAGAACAAGATTTTCTCAAATAAATAGTTAGTGCCCCTTTTCTGACATTTGAGGGAAATAATAGATAGATAAATAGTTAGTCGCTAAAGCGAGTTGGTTTGTTAATTAACCAATAAAATGAATAATGGCAGCATCAGATGCTCTTACACATGGCCCGAAGAAAGGCCGGCATCGGGTGCGACTTCCGGTATCGGCCACATGCCTGTACCCGAGACGGGGACTTGTGTGCCAGGCAATGAAGGGTTCCACATAAGGTTTCGGAGCCCTCCTACATAAGCTTACATCGACCACCGAAGGGTGTGGATCTACCTGTTAAACATACGTATAGTCTTCATATATTTTCTGCGTTCATTTAATTTGCTGTAACTATCTTACAATTAGCTTATTGAATAAACTCATTAAGGAATTAATGTGGTGATTTTATTCCTCCTAAATGCTCCGTCTCACTACCCTTTTATTTATTATTTTACGCCCTCTTTGTACGCCTCGCAGGAATCAGCCTTTCCAAATGCTTATTATTTTATTCATCATCCCTTTTATTTATTATCTTTCTCTCTTTGTGAGCCTCACGGAGCAGAATCTTGTATTCCTTACATCCCTGTATCCGTCACATCTGTGCATCCCTCACATCACAGCCTTCCTTACATCCCTGCATTCCTTATACCCCTGCAACCCTTACATCCCTGTATCTCTTACATCTCTGTCCCTTACATCCCTGAAATCTTTATATCCCAGCAGCTGGCCCTCTAGCGGCAAAAATTTGAACTAAATTTCGCACGTCGAAACAGCGCCCTCTGGCGGTAGAAAAAGGAACTAAATCTGTGCAAAATTGCTGGCCCTCTGGCGGCAAAAATTTGAACTAAATTTCACACGTCGCCACAGCGCCCTCTGGCGGTAGAAAAAGGAACTAAATCTGTGCAAAATTGCTGGCCCTCTGGCGGCAAAAATTTGAACTAAATTTCACACATCGCAACAGCGCCCTCCGGCGGTAGAAAAAGGAACTAAATCTGTGCAAAATTGCTGGCCCTCTGGCGGCAAAAATTAGAACTAAATTTCACACGTCGAAACAGCGCCCTCTGGCGGTAGAAAAAGGAACTAAACCTGTGCAAAATTGCTGGCCCTCTGGCGGCAAAAATTTGAACTAAATTTCACACGTCGAAACAGCGCCCTCTGGTGATAGAAAATGGAACTAAATGCGTGCAAAATTGCTGGCCCTCTAGCGGCAAAAATTTGAACTAAATTTCACACTTCAAAACAGCGCCCTCAGAGGTTTATAATGAAAACTAAATTCGGCTAAGTTCTGTGGTGCAGGGGTATAAGGAATGCCAGGATATAAGAGATGCAGGAATATAAGAAATGCTGTGATTTAGGGTAATCTCCATGAGGCCCTTAAGGAGAAATAAAATAATAAATGATTAGGAAGTGTGGGTCTTGGCCGATAAAGAAGGATAACATAATGAATAACTGAAAGGGGTGAACTTTGACGCATAAAGAGGGATAAAATAATAAATAAGTGGAAAAGGTGAAATGAAAAGGGATGGTCCAGAAGAGGGATGAAATCATAAATGTTATTCTGCTTTGATGAGCTTATTTAATAAACAAAACAAATACATAAAGTGAATTAAATAAAGTTCAGATTGGAAATTAGAGGTACATGTATGTTCTACAATTTGATCCGCATCCCTCGGCTGTCGATATAAGACTGAGGAGGTCACACCTCGTTCTAGGTCAAATTTCTCGTATTGAGAAGTAATTGTTGTGTTTTAAGTTTGATTTTTACGTATACTATGTTTATAATTTATTAAAGATCAAACAGTTATATATATATATATAATGTTATATATATAAATACTTGAAAAAAGAAGTTGTGTACATTGAATAAATAAAATAAGAGGAGATTTTAAGTCAATTAACTAAAAAACTGAGGAAAGAAGTTACGTGCGTTTAATAAATAACTTAGAACGGAAATTGTGTAAGTTAAATGGATAACTCAGAAAAGAAATCAGGTAAATTAAATAATAACTCAGTTGCTTTTTTAAAATGATTTATTTATCAAGACGCATTTATTTATAAAAAATAGAGTCAGAGGGAGTCAAAATTGTGTCTTTTCAATAATTTGTGGGAAGTTCGGTAAAAAATGAACTAAAATATCTCCTGTGAATTAGGCATGATGCCAGCTGGCTCAAGGTATCATACCCAGTGGTGGGGACACCTTCCCCTCCGCTGGCTTAGATCACCATTTTCCCTAGAAGAAGGGTGTGTGTATATATGTATGTATGTACAATACAATATCATGTGAGAAAACAATAACCTGCATTTAATTCACTTATAAACATAACATAAAACATTTATTATAATGGGTAATTGTATAAGGAGCATACTGAGAAGGTTAGAAAGGAAAAGGTGTACTGAAAAGTAATACATTAATTTGTCATAAAAATATGTATACAAACAGAATAAAATGTTTAAAAATAATATGATTGCAGGACTATTATCTTATTGATTGTGGGCCTTGATAATGCAGGAAAAACTTCTGTTTTAAATTGTATTAGCGGTGGTATGTATTGTAATATGTTTTTTTATTGTTATTCTACATTGAGAATTATCTATTAATGTATTGTAATGGATTTAATATGCATATTTTTTAGAATTAGATAAGTCTGTATTACCCACAATGGGATTTCGTACTGTATCTTTAAAATGTAAATCGTATGCGGTAAAAATTTATGACATCGGTGGTAGTTCTCAAATTAGATCTTTATGGCCAAAATATTATAATAGTGTAAGTATTTAATTACAGTATCTCCAACATTATGGTTATATTTTGTATAAATTTAGTAAAACCTTCCTCATAATTACCCATTTAGTAACATAATATTCGTTTGAAATGTCCTTTTTTCTTCATTTTACATCTTTTAGATACATGGTCTTATATATGTGGTGGATGCTAGTGATATTTCTCGTCTTACAGAAAATAAAGTTGTATTTGGTGAATTAATTTCACATGAGTATATTTCAGGAAAACCATTATTATTGTAAGATAATTGAATGTATTTATGCTTGTGTATTTTTGTTTATACACAAAACACTACCTTACATATGCACAATATGCACCAATTAAACTCTCCTAAAAGATATATTTGTATCTGTATGTAGTGGGCATTCATATTGTTAAATGTGTTGTTTATGTTCCTGAGTATTGAAATATTACATTTCATTTCAATATATTTTATAATAGGCTTGCAAACAAACAGGATATAAATGGAGCTATAGATGAATTAGATCTTGTTGAACATTTAGATGTAGAACATGCTGTTAATACTATGAAATGTCCTACAAGAGTGGAAATATGTTCATGCAGTTGTAAGGGAGAACAATTAAAAGATAGTAGCATAGGCATTAAAAATGGATACAGGTATGTGTAATTAACTTTTTACTTGTTAATTTTTTAGCATTCTAAAGAAGCTTAACTTTGTATTAAACAGAAATAAATAATTTGTACAGATGGTTATTGGATACAATAGCAAAAAATTACAGTGTTCTAAATAACAGACTGAAAGGTTCTCAGAATGCTCAAAATGAAAGACATATAGAAGTACAAACTACAACATTGGATTCGCCATCAAAGCTCTCAATTCATTCAAATCCTTTTAAACCAATTAAAGAATTAATTTCAAAAAAGGTAAAACTTCTTATAAACCTTACATGTATTGAGGAAGCTATCATATTTTATAATTATTGTTTATTATTATATATTTTAAACTATCATTTATTATAATTTCAGGAAGTAGTTCCAGCAATAAATATTTCAGAAAATGGTATGTAATATTTACATCAAAATTAACAAATGATTTATTCAAAATATATGAAATGTATTTGTAGGTGTTTTAACAAATGGAAAAAAATTGAAAAATATGTTCATGCATAAAAATAAGACTGCACCACTTACTGTTGAAGAATCTGTTATTGAAATGAAAGATATATCAGAAACTGATAAATATACTACTAGAGGTTTAAGAACTCAGAGAAGTCTGCAAACTTTTTCTCCAACATTAAATCCAGCAGCATTGAATGCAGAATCAAATGCAACTAGATTAAACTTAACCCGTCCATATACAGCTCCAGGGTGTTCACAACATTTTATAAACAAAATAACAGTAATTAATATACCTGGACAAGTGATGCAAGGATGATATTTTTAAGTTTGTATTTAAACAATAATAAGGGACCATTGTAAAAATACTTAAATCGTATAAAAATATAATAATAATAATTTTATTTTACATTGCATTAAGAATGTTTTGTATCTGTTGATTTTACTATATTAATAAAATGTAAAAGCAATTGCATAAACTTATTTTTTATCTTATATATATATAAAGCACAAAGATGGTAAAAAGGTCTCTGAGACTAGCTTAAAACCGTTGCGTTTGTGCGGCTAAGTAGTCAGAGTCAGAGTCAAAAATTACAGAGGTTTTAATTTTTCTACAAAAAGTCTGAGTGGCACATTTTAGCTTCAGGGTCCCTGACACCCCAGGATGATATCAGCACATCAGGGTACATACAACCAGTATAATAATCGTCCTCTAATTTCTTCCCGGAGTTTATTTAATTTACTTTATTTATTTTCTTTGCTTATTAAATAAGCTCGTCGAAAGGGAATAACATTTATGATTGTATCCCTCCTCTGGGCCTCGGCCGAGGACCCCTTGGTGGCGAAAAAGGCGCCTGCCATTAGCGCAACTGGATTTGGGGTCCAAAAATCGTACCTTCGTTCTTCTATTCGACAAGAGCGATTAACAAACATGTCTATAATATCAATTGAAAAAGACGTTGCCAAAAGATTAAATTATAACGATATAATAGTCGTGTTTGCAAATGAAAAAGCGAGAAAAATTACTTTATAAAATATGCTGAACTGTTTTATGTTTTTACCTATACCGCAGTTCACCTATACCTATACCGCAGTTCACCAGAGTCCATAACTGCGAAAAGACCAGTTTTCGTTCTTCGCGCTTCTCCAGTGCGCATCTTCGCCCTGATTGGCGATACTTCCAAACGAAGTGGAAAGCGATTAGCAGAGAGCTCGCTGCGTTCCCCCACCATCTTCCAACCTGCGCGTCGCAGTTATGGACTCTGGTGAACTGCAGTATATGTTTTGTATTTCTTTTATTTTGTCGTCATTGAATATGAATAAAAATTTGTTCTTATTTAGGTTATAGATTATTTATTCATACAAATACCTTGTTATGCAATAAATCATCCTGTTATTTTATATTAAATATGTGAAGGATAGGTGTTTTTATAACATATATCATATCAAAAAATGTTCTTACATGAACTTTATTATGTACCATAAATTTGTACACAAATTCGTGTATACAAAAATTTGGTAAATATATGAACTAGAGAATATATATCAAAGGCTTATAAAATTTATAATATAAAGACATTAGAAAACTTTCGATTATACAATAGCATATAAAACTGCATAAAAAACACTGTATCACGTAAAGCATACATCATCAGCACATATTTATCACAATTTTCAATACTATAAATATTGTAAAGATTTGTATAATATATCTCCTTGAGCAACTACTTTATTAAATATGATATACTAATGTGTTGAAAAATGATATTGAAAGTTGTTATTGTAAGGAACGATATATTTTGTGTAATGTAAAAATCATTAAATTTTCTAAAGAAAATGTTTCACATAAACTACATTACACATACACATATACAAATACGGTAATAAATGTAGTGGCCAAAGTATCAGAAACAGTATCAGATACTATAAAATTACATTAATTAGAATTTAAAAACTACATATTCATATTTTGAAAGACTGTTGTATCACCATTTTAGAAGTTTCCAATCTATCATAATAATGCCATTTTAATTACAAATATAATAATTTTTACGATAATATTAATAGATACTTTTATTCCTTATCTACTTTATTTAGCAATGCCATTTCTCAAACTATGAAGCAACGTAACATTTTATGTTATCAGCAATTCCAAAAGTGTGTGCAAATTGCATTTCTTAATCCATAATTATTTTCTTAACAATAGGTGAAACTTGAATATTCGTTGTAATTGCACCTTATATAATCACAACTACTTTAATCAGGCAAGATTACTAGGTTACTATTACTAAGTTGAAAATATTTTAGTTTTTTTTTTTTTATATAAAACGACTATTGCTTGTTGCAAAAAGACACAAGTTTTGTCCTTCTGACTTTGTACAATGTAGTAGTCATTAAGTAGATAATTCGTCTTACGTTGCTTGCATCACAATAATGAAAAAATACCATTTTTTTAAATATGATATTGAAATTGCATAGATAGTATACAAATTACTTATAAAATTTTGTTCATAAAGCAGCAATCACAAAGGCAATCAATTTTACTATATTTATAATGTTCTTTTTTTTCTTAACTTTACTTTTCATTTGTACTTACTCTGTATCTTATTTGTAATGTGTTGAATATTATCATAATATAATGTTATATGACCACTATTACACTCATTCTATGCAGCTTTCTAATCATTTAAAAATAATTAAGAGTTACATTTAAAAATTTGATCATTATAAATTTCTAGTACAGGTATAAACCTTACAAAACATATATGACTTGTAAGACTTCTTCTTAGCTTAGTATAAAAGTTGTATGCAGCATAAAATCTAATAAGTAGTATTGCTATAATATATTATCTTGTAGTGCAAATGTTGCATAATATAATGGCAGTTTGTGTAAAATAAATGCTATCATTTAAATGCAATACATTTTCAGTCACACCAAATAGAAATTGTACAGGTAACATATTAGAATATAACTTCCAACAATGGTGTGACTTGTACCATACAGATACACACTGTGCAATCTGTATTGCACTTTATAAATTCTTTTGTATATAAAACAGCTATACAATTCCATTTTTTGGAGGTGTAAATTTCACTAAACGAGTTAACATCGAGGTAATGCATGGAATTTGTTTCTGTTGATGCATAGTAATATTGTCCGGAGTATTTGACTCAAAATCAAGAGCGACTCTTTGACAAACAAAAGTCAGCAAAGTTAATAAATCGTAGCGAGTACCGTTTTCACGTAATTCCATGCATAATGCTTGCATGAACCATGAGCCGCGAGTGGTATTTCTCCATGAATAGTAACCTATATAATTAATATAGATTTGTATAATGTGATTAATGTTTATCTTAATGCTTTTCCAAATATTTTTAGAATACGAATTATTTAAAATGAACTACAAAACATAAAATAGAAAATTTAAAAACAATTGTGTTTTCATTTTTACCTGGTATTGTTGAATAAGCAATTAAAAAGTCAGCTTGACTTGGTATACGGAATGTTGAAGCTGGTTGACCGTCAGTTTCTGTACGTTCCTTTAATGTTACACCACTATCTAATCTATCTCCTTGGCAGGCTTGTATAAAAAATAACTTTGGTTTTCCAGCAAGTGTAGGACATTTATCAGCTGTAAAATGAGCCCAAATGGAATCAGGCTTATAAGGAGTATCATGAGCGTAAAGTAATCCTAATTCTCCATGGCTTAAAACAGCTACAATTAGACAGTCGTGTTGAGAGTGATCCATACCAGAAACTGTAAAAGAAAAATACAACTGTTAATTGATGTTTAATGTCTTTCTGAGCATATGTTAAAATACAAAACATAAAAAAAGCACACATTTATTAAGTACCTCTTTCTAAATTTTTCACTATATCTCTATGAGTTGAATTATGAAAATCATTTACTTCAAAACCAAGACTTTTCAATGTATTAACAAGATTATCACAATCCACATTTGTTCCACATCTCGGTTTAAGATGTGTAACAGTGAAAAATTCATGATTAAAAATCATAGCTAGTCCACGTTTAGCATGATTCATGTTGTAATGTGTGTCATAACGTTCTGTGGGTGCTATTTGTAAGGGACCCACAAGTGGACTGACAGTATTTCTGAAAAATAAAAGAAAAAATGCATGCTTGACATCTAAGTCCAATTAATAGAACAATAACTCATGATAACTAAAATAATTTTAAACTTGAGTATGCTTTTATTAATTAACATTAGTAAAATCATTATTAAGAAATCATTATTAACCTATTATAATAATAAATATAATTCTATTACAGTGGAGAGAGAAATATGTATCAATATGGAAAATGATGCATGTATCATAATGGAATTATGTGATAACATTGTGTGGTTATGAACAAGTATCTTTGTATATAGATTGAACAATACCTGGAACATCCGAACGCATCTCCAACATCATTACTATGTATAATGCTATCATTTACAAGATCACCTTCCATGGTACACATGACTTTAATTTGAAAATGCTCTCCGCAAGGAACAATTTCGTTGTAAAAATATTAATCACAGTAGTTTACTGGTGCAGTGAAACGTAAATATGACGCACACTACAGACAGTGACTACAGATACATAAAGATTGACATGCCTTTATCCTCGTGGGGTTATGATTTCAGGGGGTCTCAGATACCCTTAGATAAAATTAGGTCTATACAAGTCTACATGCAAATAGCACAGTCAGTATAATAATTGCATTGGCGGGTAAACTGTACTTTACTGGACCCAAAATTTTGGACCTTTTTTTTAATCTATAGTTTTTGATGTGTAGAATCCAAAAATGCAAGTCTTAACTTTAGTTATGAGCGTGTAAAGTTAGACACTTTAGTGCCATATTGGCTTCTTGTCCAATGAACGCTGTCGCTAGCTGCGGGCAGACGCATGTAGGTGCCGATCGCTTTAGTGGGTTTGGTCAAATCGTAAATTTGATACTGTCTGAGTTAGTTAGATTTATTCGAAAAACTATTAAGATAATTGTAAGACAAACTTGTATTCATTTCATGCACCTTAGGAGGCCGAACTTCGAATTCCGCGTCGGTAAAACAGTCAACGTTTCATCGAAAATTAGGCTGAACAGAAACTGATTTAAGCGCCACCTCAATTATCGCATGCTATCAACTAACGGCATGCTATGCTACATTACCTTTCGCATACACCTAAATGACACGTGTATGCTACGATAGCTATATGTATAAGTACATAATTAAACAATACTGACCATGCATTCATTATTACTAATTTTCTTTCCGTAAAATTGTAGTTGCAATGTGATACACTTCAGAATCTGAAAGGTTTAGTTCCTGAAAAATATATAACAGAGATTAAATAGAAAAAAACAGTATAAATTTCGCAGCCATTTCGCTCGTATTATTTGCTGCATAATTAATAAATGTACCATAGAAATAATGATACAGTTATTAATTAGTCATCAAATAATAACGATTGCCCAGGTCTCACCACGAGGAGGTTGCTGCTGTTTGGAGACCCACCCTACCTCATCCCATCCACCCTCCATTTATGCAAATTTTTACTTTCATTCAATAATGAATTCCTCTCGAAAATTGTTATAAGAAACATATTTGTTAGTCAACGTAGCGAATTTCTATCAAATGAAAAGCAGAAATTATGTGTTCTGTGAACAAGAGCGAGATCTGGCGTCTGACCAGAGTCATGGATAAAGTCATGGCTTTTCCAATGTACAACGTCTCTGCTTGAAATATCTTTCACCATTGCGTATCAAACAACTTCGTTCTTTCTAAATTCCATATTTTGTGATTTTCTTTTTATTTTATTTTTAACTGACTTCGAAAAGAAGGAGGTAATTAGTCATTTGTAATTAGTCAAAAATCATACAAGTTCCTTTTTCAGGAACTATAAAATTACTATAGTTATACGTTCTATATGGTAATATTGCAATCCCGAAAATACTTTTCTGAATTTAAACTATTGTTTCCCAATTAAAAAATATATAAATCTTTTTATCGTAGCTCTTAGCTTGATATCGCTTTCTAAAAGTTATCTTTAGAAAACGATATCAATTACCAGGTCACACCACATGGAGGTGGCTACGTTAGTGACCCACCCTAAAATCATAAGAACGTGAAACCATTCAAAACATACAACATAAAATAAAAATTTAAACAATACAATCTTGAAATAGAAAATAAAATTAACATCCTAATATCAGAAACAATTGAGAAAATAATAATAATTTAACAATAAAATGCTGTAACGGAAAACATAATTATTAGGATTAGATATACAATAACGTGAAACCATACAAAACAGACAAACTAAAATAAAAATTTAAACAATACAATCTTGAAATAGGAAATAGAATTAACATCCTAATATCAGAAACAATTGAGAAAATAACAATTCAACAATAAAATGCTGAAATAGAAAATATAATTAACAGCCTAATATCAGAAACAATTGAGAAAATAACAATTCAACAATAAAATACTGAAATAGAAAATATAATTAACATCATAATTTCTGTAAGAATTAACAAAATAACAATTCAACAATAAAATGCTGAAATAGAAAATATAATTAACATCATAATTTCTGTAAGAATTAACAAAATAACAATTCAACAATAAAATGCTGAAATAGAAAATATAATTAACATCATAATTTTAGTAACAATTAAAAAATAATTCAACAATAAAATGCTGAAATAGAAAATATAATTAACATCATAATTTTGATTACAATTGAAATGAAAAATGTCGACAACAGAAAATATAATTACCATTACAATCTCAGAGTATGTTTTAAATAAACAGAACATAATTAAAATAAGAACATGAAATATAGATGATGTGCAAATCAATAAGAAAAGAATAATTTATTTCAATAAAGCAATAAACGAAAAACAAATAGGGGAAATAAAATCGCGAGTTGACCATTCAACGAGCTGGGTATTGAACTCGTAAAATGTCGAGTTCAATACGTCTTGGACGGTATTATTCATACCGTTCAAGGGAAAACACAAAAAATGAAAAAACAAATTAGCGAGCATAGTGACAGAATGACTGTCCATCCGAAGATGGAGAGCCATTAGTAGTTCCCCTCTTCTGGGCAAATTTTGCCGGGGCTCTTCAGCATATAGCCTCTTCTTTCTTCGGCAATAGCCTCACAAAAATCACTCGCGAAAATTTTACGTTTGCTCAGACATTTGTAAAAACGTAACATGTAAACGAGCAACGATCCCTTGAATCGCTACTCGCATACCTGCACAATTTTTGCAAATGTCCAAGCACAAGACACTTTTTAATTTCACTTCACTTCACTTCACTTCACTGCACTTTCACTGTAATACTTCATTTTTGTAATCGGGTCTAGTACCACGACTACGACTTACAAACTAATAAGGCTTGGCCTTGAAAAAATCAAGAGAGAATGCTAAATTAATTAATTGATAAATTAATTAAATTGCATTTTCATCTTTTCTCTTGATTTTTGGTTTCCCAACCCCAGATACAAGCTTCTCACGTATTAGAGGAGAATACGAAGAGAAACATGAAAGCTTGCTCTGGCCCTGCCTACTTATAAACTAAACTCAATCACACCAGAAGTAAACTACCTGCCTGCCTATCGCTATATTTAAAAAAGGGCAAAAATCATTCTCACAAAAATTCACTCCACGGTTCTCATACAACCACCCGGGTGCAAAAATGCCTACACCTAGGGAGAACGTCCCGGGACGCCTCCGACACCCGAGTTCAATTCAACTTTCACACTCTAATAAAATCATACCTTTTTGCTGAAATCGACTGACAAATAATAGTGAACATTATGCTAAAGTAATACATTTCATTTTCGTATTCTGTTGAATTATCTAATGTAAAAATTTTTCAATTTATTCTTGATAAGTATTTTATAATGTTATAGTAAGTTAAGATTGTTAATAAACGATACAAATCCCACATCCTAACCACACACACACATGTGGAACTTCTATCGTGGTTCACTATTGGTTCACTACTTTTGTCAGTCGCCAAAATGTATTACACTTAAAACTAAACCTTGTCCACCGCCCTCCACCCACGCGAGTACATCTAAGTACCCGAATGAGCTTTGGGCATAAAAATGAACAAGGCCAAAGGTATTTTCACCTACCAGTTTTCTTCATGTGTGCTGAAATGCCTAAGCTAAAACGTATGATTAGCAAAAACTAAAGATGATATTCTCACTTTATTAAAAGTAAGAATATCAGCGAAATTTCACGGCTCCGATTTAGTACATGGGCTGGCCCCCACAAGGGGTTTTATTTTTAATAAAAGTGATTCGACTTTGCAAATATAAAGCTTGAAGAGCAAATACAGAAAAGCAAAATTGAGCAACTATGACGCAAACATGGTGCACTGATAATATCAGCTGGCAACGGGGGTTCTTAGGCCCCCTGGACTTGCGCCCGACGCTACATACCACCCACCCCGCCTGGACGTCGTAACGCCAGGACAGGATGCACCCCTTCGCTAAGAGCGCTACCCGCCCGTCCAACACGTTGCATCCAACGTGTCAGATTGACGGACGCCCATAGTATAGACAAAAGGACTACAGTTTAGAATATGGTAACATATTTTCATATGTTCCGTATTCTAAAGCTGCGCCTGCAAAGGCCTAGTAATGCATGGGTTTATCTCCCATGAGATGGTGTTTCACGGTCTTATGCCGCGGAATCCTTGTAACTAATTTGATTAAATAAATAAAATATTGGATTGAGTTTAAAAACCAAAAGGATTCCCACCAAATACTAGTCAGTGCATTGTCATATTTACTCTCGCGTTGGAAATTTTTCGCAGCACTAATCAAAATAGAAAATCCTGATCTAAAAACATGACTAGTACATAAACCTCTAACGGGCTAATATTTCACTATAATGATGAATGATGAGTGTGAATGATGAGTGTTTAGGGTCGAGAACCGTGAACGTGACAGAATGAATTTGAAGTACGAACGAAGAGCTTTCTACAATGCTTGAAGAGCAAATACTGAAAAGCAGAATAGAGCAACTATGACGCAAAAATGGTGCACTTCTAATATCGGCTGGCAACGGAGGTTTTCGGGCCCCCTGGACTTACGCCCGACGCTACATACCACCCACCCCGCCTAGGAAAGGATGCACCCCTTCGCTAAGAGCGCTACCCGCCCGTCCAACACGTTGCATCCAACGTGTCAGATTGACGGACGCCCATAGTATAGGCAAAAGGACTGCAGTTTATTAAATGGAACATATGGATGTGCGCCACATTCTAAACTGCGCCTTGAAAGGCCTAGTAATGCATGGTTTTATCTCCCATGAGATGGTGTTCACGGTCTTATGCCGCGGAATCCTTGTAACTAATTTAATTAATTAAATAAGACATTGAGTTTAAAAACCAAAAGGATTCCCACCGAATACTAGTAAGTACACTGTCATAGTTACTCTCGCGCTGGAAATTTTTCGCAACACTAATTAAAATAGAAAATCCTGATCTAGCAACATGACTAAAGGGGAGCTTTAAATTATGCTTGAAGAGCAAATACTGAAAAGCAAAATTGAGCAAATATGACTCAACATTCGTCCACTGCTAATATCAGCTGGCAACGGAGGTTCTTAGGCCCCCTGGACTTACGCCCGACGCTACATACCACCCACCCCGCCTGTTTAAGGCTCTAGGCCCAGGCAGGGTGCACCCCTTCGCTAAGAGCGCTACCCACCCATCGAACACGTTGCATCCAACGTGTCCGAGTGGTGGACGCCCATAGTATAGGCAAAAGGACTTTAAGACAGCTTAGCGTATGGGATGCAACATACTTAAATGTTCCGTACTCTATGGCTGTGCCTGCAAAGGCCTAGTAATGCATGGTTTTATCTCCCATGAGGTGGTGTTCACGGTCTTATGCCGCGGAATCCTTGTAACTAATTTTATCAAATAAAAACCAAAAGGATTCCCACCGAATACTAGTCAGTGTATAGTCATATTTACTTTCGCGCCGGAAATTTTTCGCAACACTACTTAAACTTGAAAATTCTAACGGGGTAATATTTACCCTCGCGTTGAAAATTTTTCGCAACACTACTTAAACTTGAAAATCCTAACGGGGTAATATTTACTCTTGCGTTGAAAATGTTTCGCAACACTACTTAAACTAGAAAATCCTAACGGGGTAATATTTACTCTCGCGTTGAAAATTTTTCGCAACACTACTTTAACTTGAAAATCCTAACGGGGTAATATTTCACTACACAAGGGTATGCGGGTGGATAAACGATTATGTGATAGAGTTCGTGAGGCTGAAGTGCGAATGATGAGTGTTTAGGGTCGAGAACCGTGAACGTGACAGAATGAATTTCAAGTTCGAAAGGGGAACTTTATACAATGCTTGAAGAGCAAATACTGAAAAGCAAAATTGAGCAACTATGACGCAAACATGGTGCACTGATAATATCAGCTGGCAACGAGGGTTCTTAGGCCCCCTGGACTTGCGCCCGACGCTACATACCACCCACCCCGCCTGGACGTCGTAACGCCAGGACAGGATGCACCCCTTCGCTAAGAGCGCTACCCGCCCGTCCAACACGTTGCATCCAACGTGTCAGATTGACGGACGCCCATAGTATAGACAAAAGGACTACAGTTTAGAATATGGTAACATATTTTCATATATTCCGTATTCTAAAGCTGCGCCTGCAAAGGCCTAGTAATGCATGGGTTTATCTCCCATGAGATGGTGTTTCACGGTCTTATGCCGCGGAATCCTTGTAACTAATTTGATTAAATAAATAAAATATTGGATTGAGTTTAAAAACCAAAAGGATTCCCACCAAATACTAGTCAGTGCATTGTCATATTTACTCTCGCGTTGGAAATTTTTCGCAGCACTAATCAAAATAGAAAATCCTGATCTAAAAACATGACTAGTACATAAACCTCTAACGGGCTAATATTTCACTATAATGATGAATGATGAGTGTGAATGATGAGTGTTTAGGGTCGAGAACCGTGAACGTGACAGAATGAATTTGAAGTACGAACGAAGAGCTTTCTACAATGCTTGAAGAGCAAATACTGAAAAGCAAAATAGAGCAACTATGACGCAAAAACGGTGCACTTCTAATATCGGCTGGCAACGGAGGTTTTCGGGCCCCCTGGACTTACGCCCGACGCTACATACCACCCACCCCGCCTAGAACAGGGTGCACCCCTTCGCTAAGAGCGCTACCCGCCCGTCCAACACGTTGCATCCAACGTGTCAGATTGACGGACGCCCATAGTATAGACAAAAGGACTGCAGTTTATTAAATGGAACCTATGGATGGGCGCCACATCCTAAACTGCACCTTGAAAGGCCTAGTAATGCATGGGTATATCTCCCAGAGATGGTGTTCACGGTCTTATGCCGCGGAATCCTTGTAACTAATTTAATTAATTAAATAAGACATTGAGCATAAAAACCAAAAGGATTCCCACCGAATACTAGTAAGTGCATTGTCATAGTTACTCTCGCGCTGGAAATTTTTCGCAACACTAATTAAAATAGAAAATCCTGATCTAGCAACATGACTAAAGGGGAGCTTTAAATTATGCTTGAAGAGCAAATACTGAAAAGCAAAATTGAGCAAATATGACTCAACATTCGTCCACTGCTAATATCAGCTGGCAACGGAGGTTCTTAGGCCCCCTGGACTTACGCCCGACGCTACATACCACCCACCCCGCCTGTTTAAGGCTCTAGGCCCAGGCAGGGTGCACCCCTTCGCTAAGAGCGCTACCCACCCATCGAACACGTTGCATCCAACGTGTCCGAGTGGTGGACGCCCATAGTATAGGCAAAAGGACTTTAAGACAGCTTAGCGTATGGGATGCAACATACTTAAATGTTCCGTACTCTATGGCTGTGCCTGCAAAGGCCTAGTAATGCATGGTTTTATCTCCCATGAGGTGGTGTTCACGGTCTTATGCCGCGGAATCCTTGTAACTAATTTTATCAAATAAAAACCAAAAGGATTCCCACCGAATACTAGTCAGTGTATAGTCATATTTACTCTCGCGCCGGAAATATTTCGCAACACTACTTGAACTTGAAAATTCTAACGGGGTAATATTTACTCTCGCGTTGAAAATTTTTCGCAACACTACTTAAACTTGAAAATCCTAACGGGGTAATATTTCACTACACAAGGGTATGCGGGTGGATAAATGATTATGTGATAAAGTTCGTGGGGCTGAAGTGCGAATGATGATTGTGAACGTGACAGAATGAATTTCAAGTACGAAAGGGGAACTTTATACAATGCTTGAAGAGCAAATACTGACCCCCCTGGGGGCCAGCCCATATACTAAACTGATGCCAATTTCACGAGTAAAATCGGAAAAACGTTTCAATTTCAAGAGCGATTTCGTTATCAAAGTACGTAATTATAATAATTAATAGTATTCATGCTTATTACTTTGATATTGAAATCCGCTCATCGCGAAATAAATTCTTGTACATATAAAAAAGAAAGTGTATTGTGAAGTCGGAGGGTCATCCGACTTCTCTACATTTTTAAACTCGAAATCTATGTATGTAAATATGTACAAGAAAACCCTATCCTGAACTAAGGCATAAAATACACAAAAAAGCAATTTGCACGATTATCATTGTATAAAATGATACAGTGATATTCGTGGGTCACTATGCTCGCTCAAAAAATAAAAATTACAACCAATTCCCGTGTCGCTACGGACCATTCGTCCTACGACATGATGGGAACCGGAGGAACTTTAAAGCATGCGACTCACCGATCGTTGACTTGCACCACTGCACTCGCCACGCATTTTATTGTTAGATTGACCCATAGCTCGTCTGTTGGCTCGTCAAAGAAACGGTATCCCTACTAGCCAAAGCACTCATCTGTAAGCATAAAAATCACGATTCTTGAACGATATATGTTTTCTCTCAATTTGTTGTAGTTACTATGCTAATACATAGGATAATTCAAAAATATGCATGCAAAACTATATGGGAATAGCTACACCATAAAACACGGCAAAACACATGCAAATACATCCCAAAACACTTGAAGATCAAAACCATAGAACACTATAAAATATTTGCAAAATTATAGTAAAAAACCTACTAATAAATCCGTATAAATACGTCAAAACACAAAGGGTACTACTCCATAAAACCCACTAATAAATCCGTATAAATATGCCAAAACACATAGGGTACCACTCCATAAAACCCACTAATAAATCCGTAAATATATGCCAAAGCACAAAGGAAACCACACCATAAAACACAATAAAGCACATGCAGGTACATGGGGTACCACACCACACAGCACACTAATGCACTTGTATAAAAATGTCAGAACACATGGGTGACCACACCATAAATCGTACTAATATATCCGTATAAATATTCCAAAACATGGGAAACACTATAGGAAACACCATAGGAAACACCATAGGCACACACAGTAACACTTATGATAACACACTGATAAATCCATGCACGAATATCCATAGTGTCAACCCGTACCGGTATATGTTTGACAGCTCGATCCGTATCCTTCAGCGGTCGCGATAAGACTGACTAGATTTGACCTTCCTCCAGGTCGCGGTTGTACCGGCGCGCGGCGCGCGCAATCAAGCATGACGTTCCGCTTCACCGGTTCCGCTGATTTAACTATTTCTATCTGATATTTGTTAATATTTGTTTAATTATTATTTTATATTTTACAATTGTTTATTAATCAAATTATTGTTATATCTATTTAAATTGTTTATTTCTTTACATTTCCGTGTGGGTATATTGCAAAATTTTGTTTAATTATTCTATTAAAAATTATTTAATTATGAAGTCTACTCAACGAAATGCGATAATGAGGGAAAGACAATCGCGATTGGCAACAGGTATAAACCAGAAATAGCAGAGATCGTGCCATCGTTAATGAAGAATACGCCAACTATTTTATCGTCTAATTTCGCAGAAGAAGAACAGACGCGATGCTATATTCCATGGGGAATACATTTTGGACGATATGATCGAAGTGGATGATAAGAATCCTATTAGCATCTTTCTTAAACATCGACTGTGAATCTACACCGATAAGCATTTACTTTCCTAAGCAAATGCTTAAGCTGATGCTTAAGACGTTGCTTATTCGGCGACTGTGAATCTAGCCGATGTCTTAAGAATATGCTAAAGACCAGCTTAGAAATAAGTTGCGACTCTGAATACCGGCCCTGGAAACTAAAGGCATGTCCGATGTCCTCTTTTGTTGGATCTGTAGTTACATGCGTTGTGACGCACGTCCCTCTGGTTGCCACTCGTTGAAACTCTTATTTCAAATATTTTATTGTTAAATGCAAGTATACTATTGAAAAAGCCTTACACAATAAAAAAAAACTATATTAATTAAATACTGAAATTTAAGATACATTTTTACTAATGTTTATTTTTCCATTATACATACAGTTCCTTTATTGCACAAATGATAGTTATGAACTTCGTAATTATTAATTCAAATGAAGAACTTGTGTACAAAACTTGAATTTGAATATAAATTAATACAATATGAATATTTACATCATACATGAATATTAAATCTAAATGTTTGTTTAATGAGCGTATTTGTTTTTTACTGAATGAATAACACTGTTCTATTTATTAACACTTAATCTAATTTTTTTTCTAACCATGGTATTTTCAAACTACTATGTACAAAATTCTGTTATGTTTCTATCCTTTTTTTTGCTGTTGCTATAATTTTAACTTTTTTTTATATTTTATTAGTTCGGTTCTATTAATAACTATGTAAATTCATAATTGAAGTGAATGGATCAATTCTATGGCTAAGGCAGTGAATCAATTATTAGATTTACTAAATCATAATTTAGCATTAATTACCTGCAAAGAGAATCTAAAAATTTTTAGGCATGAATAATATACTATGTACATACATACAAATCATTAGATAATATAGAATTTTAAGGTTTCCAACTAAGAAAACTGTCTTGTATAACTATTTGTTTAAATATACTATGCGTAAGAGTTTGTAAAGTTTTACGATTACGCTGCGCTTCTAAGATATAGGAAACTTTTTCTCTTGCTTCACTACGAGAAATGTCACCTCTAAGACCCAATAATCTGACTAAATGATCTTCAGTCATATCTGGATATTTTTCAACTAAAGAATGTAAGTCAAGAGAAAGAATTTCGGAATCTTCACAACGTAATACTTCAGCAAGACGTTTGATTATTTCAAAAGGAGAATTAAAATTTCCTAACTTTGGAGCTATTCTATCAAAAAAGTTCTTCAATTTATCTGCTTCTGTCATTATTTTTGAAGTACACGTTAAGCATTCATCATACGTTTTCAAAGATATCTTTCTCTGCAACATAGCAGAGATATAACGTTTTGCAATAAGGTTTTGTGCCTCTGTAATTACATACTCAAAATTTTTTGGACACAAATGATTGTAATCTTGAAAATAATCTTCTAAGGTTACACAAATTGTTTCTACTGGAATTGGAGATGATAACCATTTGGGAGTAATTAAATCTTGAAATTGTAACTCTAAATCTAAAAATGATTCTTCCAGTAGTATAGCTACCGCTTCATTTCTTAACTGTTGATAATTTGACAATAAATTTTCAAATTTAACAGTAGCATCTCCACTAGCATTGGAAACCCAATAAAGCTGTTTCATTTGTTGTGCAAGTTCTGTAAACTGTATACAGTTATTAACAATAGTAATCATATGATGCGTAAAGTAAGGTACTTGACTTCTGTCCTCAAAATGTTTGTTTTTAAATTCTAATATTGCTTGTCTGTACATAAATCCATATTTAATAACTTGTTCAATGCACAGAACAATAGCTTGGGCTGTTAATTCAGTACTAATTGTTTTAGTAACTTGAAGATTTTGATCGATCATCTGAAATATAATCACTGGTGCTGCTGTATGATAGTATGCTTCCTGAGTACTTCCTTCTGGCAGTATTCCACACCACCAATCAACTTTCTCAGTTTCTAAAGTCTTTTTCATCCAATCTTCATAATTTTGGCACATATTCTTCAAGTATTTTTCTTGAAGATCGCTTATAATTTCAGGGCTCAACAAAGGACCGATATCACTTGTGTCGATATTTAATTCAGGGTGTTGCATTAATTCTGGCCCAGTATAAGTATTCATGATCCACGATAACAAGGAGACATATTCGTTTCCTTCTAAGCCATTAGCAATTATGTCCTTTAAATGCAAGGACAAACTTGTATGATACATTTTCACAAAAGTTCTTACAATGTTCCACCAAGGTGGAAAACAAGGTTCACAAAGAGTTTTAACAACCCTTAAATCCTCCAAGATTAAAAGTCTCGTAAGTTCTAGATATCTAACCAACCACATTTTATTATCTACCCTTTCTTCGACATGAGTTCCTTCAATTCTGTTAGCTACAGATTTTTCTAAAACTTTCATTGCCATATCTTTCCATTTCTTAGGTCTCCCCGGTGGTATGAATCCGCTTTGCTTGTGTCTTTGAATGGCAAAATGATCTGCTTTTTCTTCTCTTTCTATTATTCTTAAAGCTGTCACAATAACAGTAGGCTCTTTTCTAACTGTGTTCAATGTTCTGCTTAATACCAGTCTGATTTGTTTTTCCATTAATTCTGATAGCATTTCAACATCTTCTAAATAAGCTTTTAACATAACTGTATCAGCTGGTGATTGATTTGGAAGCTTATGAAGTTCATAAAGCAAATCGTCTCTGGAATTTTCAAGATCCATAATGATCTGATGAGCATACAAAAGGTTGCCCTGATTTATCCACTGTTTAGTCATTTCAACGCTTTCAGGTAAGGTAAATGTGTGCTTTAGGTTTTCTTTAGCTGTGACATATTGTGAATGACGCATATTTTCTTCTTGGACAGCTTGTAATTTTGCACTTAGCTCTGGAACCTGACTAAACAGTTTGCCAATATCATCTAAATCCTGTTTTATGGAAGCAATACTCTCTAAGGAACTTTGAAGTTGTTCAAAGCCAACACGAACCCCATCTAATTGACTTTGCATTGCAGTTTTGAGCATAGTTTCTACGGAAGCTTTCTTCCGGCTAATTCTACGTTTGTACATATCAATCTTCTCCAATTGACCTGGTCGTTGTAACAAATTTGACACATATTTTGTTGCTCTTGCCTTAGCCTCTTCTTCTAATTTCTGAAGATCTTCCATTTTTAAAATCGTTTAATTAAGTTACAGTTTATCATAAATTCAGTGTTTACAAAAAAAAGAAGTAGATAAAACGATTCTTATTCAACTACAATCGTTCAAAAAAAGAATATTAAAAGATTATTTGAACATTTATAAAATTTTGGTTAGGTATGTATTTGTAAGGTACGTTTACATTGAACGACTTGCAATTCGAACATGCCTTTAATGTTTGAAAATAGAATTTTATGCTTTGTAAATGCGCATTGTTGATACTTATCTTCAAACACCTGAATATATACATACATATACTTGATGTCACGAGAGTCCATAACTAAGCGCGCAGGTTGGAAGATGGTGGGGGAAAGCGATCCGCCAATCGCTTTCCACTTCCGCTGGAAGTATCGCCAATCAGAGCGACAATGCGCAGAAAAGAACGAAAACTGGTCTTTTCGCAGTTATGGATTCTCGTGACATCAAGTATACATTGTATCGAAATTTCGATATTCATATATTAAGTATCGATACTGCAATATATCGTCATATTAAATATCGATATTTGAACTGAAAAATATCGATATTCCAAATATCAATACTGTATCGCCCATCACTACTTCAAACACCTGAATACAAAAAAGAATGATTTAAAAAGAACTTTTGTTCTGTGCAAATAGATAATTTATAAAGAGATTTCTGAGATACTTATAAAATTTTTAATATATTTTCGAATCATAAATGCATCCTGTAAAGAGATTATTAAGGGTAATTAATCCACATCGCAAACATTGTTTAAATAGATGTTTAACCTCTAAAGCATCGGAAAATGAAGAGGTTAAAGTTCAAAAAGGTAAATTCTTTTAGTTTATATTCCACAGATAAACAGCAATGTATATAATCAAATTATTTCAGAGCAGAATATTATGATAAATTATTATGATAAAATTACTACAATCGGTATAAGTCGTTCAGAGAAGAAGAACTGTTTAAATACTGTGACTGCACAAGAACTGTCAGAGGAGTTAGATAAATTTGATAATGATGAGAATTCTGTAGTAGCTGTACTTCACGGTGTTGGAGGAAATTTTTGTAGCGGTTATGATCTTGAAGAAATTGCACAGTATAATGGAAAGAATGAAGAAATTTTACCACAGTTTGGTTCATTGGTAAACAAAGTGAATTTATAGTTTGTATTTTATGTAAAATTTCTTATACTGTATTAACTATTGTACCATAAAATACTTACAGGGTAATAGGATTGAATTAAGTAAAAAACCTTTAATTGCTGCTATAGATGGGTATGCTTTAGGTGTAGGATTTGAACTTGCTTTAATGTGTGATTTAAGAGTAATGGAAGAAAGTGCTATGTTAGGATTTGTAAATAGACGTTTTGGTATTCCGATATTATCTGGTGGCACTGTTAGATTACCAGCTTTAATCGGTTATTCAAGAGCAATGGATCTCATTTTAACAGGTCGAATTATCGGCGCAAAAGAAGCATTTTCGTGGGGTTTAATTAACCGATACACGTGCGAGGGTACAGGTAAAATTTACTTTGTAATAATTAATAATAAATGTTATAAATGTAATACAACATAAACTTATGTTTTGATTTTAGCATTAGGTGATGCATTGATTCTTGCAAAATCACTTGTTAAGTTTTCTCAAAAAACACTGCTCGCAGATCGTGCTTCTGCGCGCTTTGCCACGTTTTCTGCTAAACAACTAGAAGAAGCTTTACAGTTTGAAAAAGACCATGCATCTCATTTATTATTTGAAGAAGGTGTTAAAGGAGCAAAAAGGTTTATTACAGAAGGGATAGGAAAGCATGGAAAATTTTTAGATATAACAAAAGCGAATACCGAGTTTAGGGAATTAGATAAAAATCTCTTATAAAAATTGTATATATGTATGTTTTCTTCTCAAAAGAGAAGAGATTTGTACGGAGATTCTATGACGAATGTACATAATATACTTAAGTTTCAATTAAAACTTTGGTACAAAATCAAATTGATTTATTTTAATTGTATATAGTTATAATTATTACTTTACTGTATTATTGTCTTTTTTAATGGAAGATTTAGATAATGAATTCTTTTTAACTAAAGTATGAGACTTCGATAGGATATCAGAACATCTCTTTGCTGCCTTTCCACTAAGAAGTGGTACAAGATTTATCATTTGACCATTTACATCTCCTATATGAATTATTTTTTAAGAAAAATAATACTTTACATGTTACTTGTACATCTACTTACGTTCATATGTAACTATCAAATATATTAAATCTGCTTGGAAGACATTGAAACCAGGTGTACGAGGTTCAAAGAAGGAAACCTTTCTTAATTGACAATTAATCTCATCACATAAATCAATCTCAGCTATAAATATTTGCTTATAGTTTGACTTTCTCTATTTTAAAGATACGTTTTCCTTACTTGTATCATCTAGTCCTACTACATTTCGAATATAATTCAATATCAATTGAAGAGGACAATCGATATTTATCAAAATTTCATTTTCTGTACCTTCAGACTGTATATTCTTTTCGTCATTAATAATTGGAACTATAAAATTTACATGATATAATTTTCATTAAAAGTGTTAGATAGTTAAAATATTCTTACTAGCATATTTAATCCGAATAATCGATGTCATAATTCAATGAATAAATTAATACATTTTTCACATGAAGGGTATCACGTGAATTCGGTCAAGTTTGAAGTTACATTATTCATTTCATTTTTTTTTTTTTTTTTTCAGTTTACATACAATGAGTTTTTGAGCTTAGATTTTATATTATTGTTTTATGAAGTCCGATACAGGATATACATAAGATCCGGATCTGGACCGTCAGATCTACGTCAATTTCCTCAGATTTTTTGAAGTCATTCATAGATTTATAGATCTGGAATTTCGAATAATGCTGGAATTTCATATTTAAGTTGAACAACAGCGACCGTCCACAGACTTAATTGGCGAAAGTAATGCGAACCGACCAACTACTATCGAGTTGGTTAAAGCTGCGGTGACGAAACGAGTGCAGGTGGCGGTGCATTGTTGCGTAATCGTTCATATCCCTCCTCTTCCTCCTTGTTCGTGTAACCAGGAGTCAGGACGAGAGTCCCCTTGGTAACCAGAAGGCCCTCCCCACCAGGTGCCTTCCTCCCTGCTCGACCTGGTGAATGTTGCGCCCGCAAATCTACACCTCCGACGCTGTTCTTTCTTCCTTCTGTTTCATTCTTTTCAAGGATTTCATCATGTTTTTCTTTTTCCATTTACTTTAAGGGTATCAAGTGCAATCTTGCAACAAAGTCATGGAAAAAGCATAAACCTATTCTACATTCCGTGTGTTGAGATTCTTGGAAATGGTAAATAAGAAATTAAACGTTTCGAGAAAGATAGAATTTTTAAACGTACATTAACGAGTAGTAATAATAATGGAATGAAATGAGAAATAGGATATCAAAGATAAAAGGGCGGTTCCCAGGATCTTCTTTCCGATTAGCCCCCGCCGTGTACGTGGCATTTGAGAGGATGATGCCAGAGCCTTTCACGAATCACCATTCGATCCTGCAGTGTATTATTGTTGCGAGCAAACTCGCGAAAGAAAAAATTTCCTTCGATGGGAGAGGCAAAGTCGATGCGTTCTTTCTAAGAAAGCGTTCAGAATATTAAGAATCCTTGGAGGATCTTGAAATCGTTAGATTGAAATTTTATTTTACTTCCTATACGTCCAAATTGGCTTTAGTATCATTTTCTAGATCAGTAGAGTATTCTTTAGACGAAGTTTCAACTTTCTTATTATTCAGAACGTTTCATATCGCAAATTTAATAACTTGTCTTTAGTTTCTCGGAAATCACCCTATAATAATATGATTTTACACGATCATTGCCAGTATCTGATAGTCCGAGACTGTATTTAGAAACAATCTGCTCGATTACACCGCGAGCACCGACTAGTAAGATTCAAGATATTCTCGAATCACTGCTGGACAACATGAAAAATCCGATTAAATAAATAACCGGAATCCATGGAATTTCAGTGTCCAAACCCTCTCTGTTCGTAGTTCAATAAAATGACGAAACTTAAAACAGCCTGTCCCAGACCACTTTCCTCATCGTCGTTCGGGAAAACGAACTTGGTACGTGCAATTTTCATGCAAACCATAGAAACGTGGCCCGTGGCAGTTACTGCAGGTCCTTTGTACGGTGTACCGTGTGGCTGGGTCCATTCGCTAGGCCACCGATCGTATCTGCATGCCACTTAACCATTACGTTTTACGAGCTGGATGGACATAAACTACTCGCTCCTCTCTCGTTCAGCAACAGGTTACACGCTCGTCTCGCTTCGATCGGCGACGAAAAGAGAAGTTATCTTTGGAGCAAACAGGATCGCAGCATCTCGAGACGTATCCGTGAAATTTACCATTGGCTCTTGCTGCGTTCGGACGATCCTGCCTCATCGACGAGCCGTCTCTATGACACTATAAAAACCGACATGCTCGCAAAGTTACGTGGTGTTTTCGTTTCATGCTCGATAAGAGAATTCCAAAAGTGGCTTTTGTCTAGTCGAAGCGGAAAAACGAATAGTTATGGCGCTCAGTCGTTACACAGGGTGGCGAGGTGATTCAGGTAAAAATAGACTCTGGTTTCTGTATGACGAGGAAGGTTAGTAATTTAGCAAAAATGTTATCGAGTAAAGTAAGCTCGACTAAGGAAAATGGCGCTAGAGGGGAAGTAGAAATTCTAAAAATCTTAATTTTAACGATTTACCATGGACGAGCATAATACAAATAACACGGGATGGAAATTTCACTTGTTTGAATTACGTTCATTGGCCGCGGAAGAGGCACGGATAATCGCGAATCTATCGAAATCGAGCGCAGAATTCCGACGATAGTGAACCGAGGTATTCAGGTCGCAGCAAGGCCGAACCGCGTGCACAGTCGCAGAGTAAAAGTGCAGGGAAATAAAATGTAGGCTGTTACGTGGCTCGAGGCGTCTCTCCGTGGTCTGGACATTTTGGACGCTTTAGAAAATTGACTTGAGACAACTATTCCAAAAATATTACTTTTCTAAACGATTCTCGACGTATCGATTGTTTCTCTATTGAAATTGTAAGGAGCAAGGAAAGCGTATAATATTTGAACTGCCATTTTGACCTAAACTTATATTGAATAAAATCTTAATTTCTATAACAGCTTGTAATTGCTGATAAATTTTGAAATTTTTATATCTTTCCCCGTACTTCTGTGAAGAATGATTTAGTATCTCGATTGTCTTCCATTTCCTGAATGCAGAATGCAGACTTAGTAGTTAAAGACTGCGCATCCAGTTGGTTGGTAATACACATAAACAGTACGCGCGACGTGCATTCTATTCCGGAAAAGCGAGGTCCTTGAACTCGATTTCTCGCTGCATCTCGAGCTACCTGTTCGCCGAGTCGTCCTTTATGCACTCGTATGGTTGCATGCAAACACATCTTGTATGTATGTACATATGTGATAACATAAACAGGGAGTGGCTTCAGAATCAACAGAGATTTCCTTGGAAATCTTATGTATCATAATAAAACCTAACAATTTTAGGCTGATTTTATAACTACATATTAACTAAATAGAAAATGAAATTAATAGTAATAATTAATAATTAATAATTTTGGTATTTTTTGGAGGGTTATGATTTTAAAAATTAAATTAAACACGCTGTAAGGGGAGAAAGTGTAATTATTTGAAAATTAGTATAATCATCTATTATCTACTTAAACTGAATAATAGCCCTAGATCTATGGAATTAAAGTATCGCTCCCTATCAGTATGTCGTTCCTCACCTACGCGTTGTTCTCCATCAGTCGTAAAGGTGTACCCGTGGGTGTATCAATTTCCAAAGGTCAACGATAACGAAATACTGCTCTATATCTTGAAATACAAGTTTGCATTTTGCAATGATAACATTCTCTCGTACGGATTCGATGGTTAATTCACGGATAAGCTTATCGCGCGTGAACGACACAAGGCGTTCTGTCGAATTTTTCAAAAAAAATTCACAATTTATGAAATTTCGTATTTAGATTAAAGGCATTTATTCTTTGATTCTTTCACCTCTGTATAGTTTCACTTTTTCGTGAATATCGCGGTAGAATGCACGCTTGTTCCTCGTCATCCTCGTTGCTTAATCCGGGTGGCCATTAACGAGCTGGCAAAAACTTCTAAACGATATCGCAAGAATAATGGATAATTGCTACTTTCGTGCAGAGCAAGAGGAGATTGGAAGACCGGTTGCAAAACTACGATCTGAGTAATACGTAAAAATTCGCCTGGAAACGGTGCTATCGACAGTATCCAGACAATCGTTACGTCATTAACCATAATTAATGCTATTCATTAATGGCTATACTTTTTTCCATTCTTACGTGTTCCTATGATTTGCCAGAGAAATTGTGTTGTACAATCACTTGGTGAAAATAAAAAAGAATATATTAATTTTCACTTAAAAATTCATAAAATTTGATGGAATTTTTTTTTCTATCTTTTAAAAGTTATAAATCGGTCCAATTGCATGGAAACCCGTAAATATAGCCCGTTCGATGATAAATTTTTGAACATTTTTCAACCGAGGAAATTGGTGAATAAATAGATATAAATATTTTTTATGGGCTCCCTATATCTTTACTTTACAAACATGACTCGTAAAACAGTTATTGCAGCCGCTTATCACAGGTATACTATTTCCTGTGATTAAACGAACGAGAGGATCGATCTAGCCGTGATATTTCTCGATCCCGTTTCTCGCGACTAGCTTACGTTCGATACAGGATTTACAAGTTTCCTAAGAGGAACACGATCTGGTTCAACGTACCGATTATCTTGCTCCTCTTCCCTCTGCGATTCAAGAAATTATTCAAGCGTCGATAGTCGTCCTATTGCTTTCTACCTGAAATTGATTAATCCTTCCAAGCATAGAAGTAAATTGAAATTATATTACAAATGAAGCAATAGCAATAAGTAGAATATATAGTAAGTAGATTAACCCCTCCCAAATGTCTATCTTCAAATAGAAATTTTGCTACATATAAATTGTTATAATTTTTAAGATATTTACAATATTAGATTTGTAATTTTCTTGATCTAGTTTTGTATAATAAACTTTGAAACAATTTTACAAGTCAAATTAGTAATATTATAATTTTCCTATCTATGAATTTTTCAAGAAGAAAACTTAAAAGTATTAGTACCTAGTTCTGGACAAATTGAATTAGAAGAATTTTAATTGTAAAATTACACGTTTATGATAAAGAAGCTAACAAACGAAAAGTGCAATTAGCCATCCATTCTATTAATAAGTATTCACTGTCGCGTCGAATAAAAGTTTGTATCGTCGACGCGTGCTATGGAACCGGTTAATTAAAGTGTAATTCATATAATTAATGATCGTCTGGAGCGAACAATCGGATGGGTGTGAGTAAAATAAGCGTGTACATACGGTGAACGATGGGTGATGTTGAAGAAATGACAAGGTGTCGTTGCGATTCAGCCGACATTTAATTAATAGACCGTGATAGGGAAGTGACGAGTACAAATTCGAAAGAAAAGAAAAAAGATATTCGGCTACAAAGATGCAATACTCTTCGCATGATTTATCGATCCTTTACTGTAATCGAGGACGATGAGTGGAATAAATCGCCGTGTAACCGTACGTTCATTAATGCCATCAGGGACCAAATTTATACGTTTTGTGTTGCTAAAGACGATCAACGAGTTATTAATGAACGATATTGCAGGAAAGAAAGAATTCCAGGAAGCTACAGATAATTTGAGCTCGCGTATGCTCATCATTATTCATAAACGACCACGTATCTTCTATAAATAACATTTTTTTCAATTTCATTCATATGAAAATAACTTTTTATCTTCATAATGAGGCTTATAATGTTGTCAGTAAATTTGCAAGTATTTTTTAAAGAAAAATTACTTCTTGTTATTGAAAATCAAACAGTTTTTAAGTTATTCCTTCCTGATAAAATTAATTGAAAATATTCATTTGTTATTAATTTCTGAATTTCTCTACAAATTACAGTTAACATACTGTAATTTTAAAATAGATATCCAATGGTTTAATTACATTAAGTAAATCAATATTTTGATATTTAATAAGGTTGCTTAATGACTGAGGAAACAGTGTAACGATGCAATTAATTAATTCATAATTAACATCAATTTCTGTACACGTTCCAACATGGAAGTAAAGAAATTGAATAACTTGAAAGCTGATCATACTTTACAAATAATTATCATTCTTCTGTATCCTCAATAATCCATCTACCTGAGATGGGCGTTTCTCTCGTTCAATTAAATTCGTAAACCAATTTCATTTTACAATCAAGACTCATCTTTTTCTCTTCGTGACATGAAATCACACTTACCAGCTTTATCGCGAAACGCGCGGTGGACAATGAATGCAACTTCAACCTATTAAATTTGATTAATTTCGCTTGTCCGGTGGAACATCCTCGAGATTGCGTTGAGTTTCGCCTTGGGAGTATTTACCGAAGGAAATAAAGCAATTCGAAAGGAATAAGAATTATTTCACAGTCGACGAACAGAACGGTCCAACGAACGGTTTACGCGTATTTCCAATTAACCGTCCGCGCGATTGTTGTTTAATTGAAAAAATCTGTTTTGCTGTTTCGTTTGCCGAGCAACTGTTTGTACCAGACACATTTCTTCCATTCTTAACATATGAATATTTAAAACGATAAAATGTTCAACATTGTCGAATGGTTGTTTTTAAGAAAGGAAGGTGAACGAGAAAATCGAGAAAGTCCATTTAATGGTACCCCAAACAAGGAAACTCTAAATGGACCAACTGGACGACATTGTTTAAAATTTTCAGTGAACATGCTATAATAATAATAATTATGGAAATTTTTGAATGATTGTATCAACTCACATTAAAGCAGGTCTCCTGTGGCACTCATAATCTGAAAAAAGAAAATAATACAATATTAATATCAGGTGAAATTTTCTCAAATTTATCTCTTCCAATTATTCAATTATATTAAATCGATGGTATCAGTCATCGGTGGGTCGGAGACATTCAACGTGTTAATAAAGACGGTCGAATTCCGTGAGGGTGGACATAAGCGAGTCAAGGTCGCCGAAATTTCGAAGCAGAGGCTGGTAGCGTCGCGAAACCAGTCCTCTGTGTTGTTTGTGGCGATGGTGTGGCATAAGTCAGCTGGCGTGTTACGAGCAATCCGCAGGGACAGGCCGGAGGCAGTAATTTCCAGGAATCCCGGATCTAAGAGCGCGGCCTCGTCCGCGCTTTCCTCGCGGATGCGTGCGTCGCGTCGTTTCCAGCTCGTAAACACGCGCGGCACCGCTTCCATTGCCTTCACCTTCGAAGCTGGCCACGCCGTGCACCTCGAGACTTGTGTTGGAGCGAAGAAAAATAATCCTCGGATCCGGTACCTGGTCGAGCAACTACCCGCCACGCACTGCCAGCAGCTTCTCTCGATCCTGCTGTGTGTTGTTGCCTCGACCTGCTAGGTAGGGAGTTGCTTTCCGTTCGACTTAACGCGCATTGTTGATCGGTCCAGTTTACGCAACATCTCGTCGTAAGAACTAGTTTCCAGCTACACTTGTTGCTTTTGTTCTGCCAACAGTCGCTCGAGGGAGAGACGAAGTTAATCAAAGGGAGATTCAAGGTAAATTCAAAGGAGATTCAAGGGAAATTCAAGCGAGATTCAAAGGCAACGAAGTTGATCCTAGGGAAACTTAAAGGCGATCCTAGGGAGATCCAAAGCTGACTCTAGGGAAATCTAAAGGCGATTCTAGGGGATTTCAAATGAAATCTAAGGAAATCCAAGAGCAACTTTAGGAAGATACAAAGTCCACTCTAAAGAAACTTGAAGGAGACCCTAGGGGGTTCCAAAGTTGATTCTAGGAAGATCCAAGAACGAATTTAGGAGGATTCAAAGTTGAACCTAGGGAAACTTAAAGGCGATTCTAGGGAGATCTAACGTCGATCCTAGGTAAATTTAAAAGCGATCCTAGGGAAAGACAATTCTAGGGGATCTAAAGTGGAATCTAGGGAAATCCAAGAGCGAATTTAGGTAGATTCAAAGACAACCCTAGGGAAACTTAAAGGAGACCCTCGGAGGTTCCAAAGTCGGTTCTAGGAAGATCCAAGAGCGAATTTAGGAGGACTGAAAGTTGAACCTAGGAAAGCTTAAAGACGATTCTAGGAGGATCCAAACACGAACCTAGAGAAAGCTTATATCGATCCTAAGAAGATCCAAGGAAGCTCCTCTCGACGAATGCTTCTTACAACCTCAGAACGCGTAATAACACGTCTTCAGGGTTCACTGACTCGTGTTTCGCGACGCGGAGTGGATAATGGCACCTTCGGTACTACTTTGATGTTTGGTTAGAGGCATCTAGTAATCCATGTTTGATTAGTGATCCAGGGTTGAATAAACTGCAGGAGGATATGTAGAACAAACAATGTAGTTTCTGGTATTGCTTTAAGTCTGCTCAGAGTAATGGCACGTTGAAATCTCTGTTTGAAGATGTAGAATAAGTAATAATGCCTTCGGCATCTACTTGGAAGTGTAAGGTAAGCAATAATACTGCGAGTTGTTCATTGATGTCTACTTGGAATTGTAAGGTATCCAGGGCTTCCATTGATGCCCACTCGCAGTAGAGCAAATAATGGTACCTTTGAAGTTCTTGAAGCTGTAGACTATGCAGTGGCATCTTTCGCATTCCTTTGCGTCTACCTTGAAACACGCCACGAATAGTGGGACTATTAAGGTCTACGTGAAGATGTAGAGTAAACAACGGATTTTCCAGTGTTCATTGACACTTACTCTGAAGCAAAATGTCTAATTAACGCTACAGATCGTATTACATATTTTTTCTCAGACGATGCACATTCGTTTACAGAAAACAAAAGAAATATTAAACTGACGTACACGAAATCATAAAGTTAGCCTGAAAAATCGCAGAATCTTAAAGAAAAATTACAACGTTTCGCAAATGCTTTAAACCGAATGGAAGGAAGAACGGTAAAAACAGTTTCTCCGTAAATCGTCGCAAATTCATGAGCTAAGCGTCATTTTACGATCGTCTTTACGCCAAGTTTGATTCTAACACACACACTCTTTGTTTCATAGTAACCAAATGGATGGCGAGAAATTTTCGAAACACGAACGACGACCAACCAGGTATTTCCTCGTTATGCAATTATTATGGATAACACGTTGCTGGAAGTGCTCGAGAGGAGATGTATCCAGGGAATAATTTATGGCAAAAAATTGAAATTGCTACCGGTCATCGATGAGCCAAAGTGTATTCGATGACTTAATAATGATCGAGCGTATCGTAAAATTTATTTTCTCTTATTTATCAGTTTTTTATTCTATTCCGAAATGACTGGATGATTTTCGATTAAATCGATCGTATAATACAGGTAAACTTAAAAGTGTAGGAATATCAATTAAGATGTTATTTATGTTTTTATTTTCATTCTTTATGGAAGAGCGATTTTTATTGATAATTTCGTATTGAAAAATCAGAATTTTGGTAGCAGTTGCAAATTTGTAAAATCTAGTAATATTTATTTGAAAATATTTTTCCAATTCATCAAAAAAGATTACTATTATTAACAGCTGTTTCATATTTTAATTTTAAATAAAATCTCCTCAGGGTCTGCGATGACTTCAGTTTGTAATTCTGGGTACCTGACCTATGACAAAGAGAACGATCTTTCCCAATGCTAATGACATATTTGATACATTGACAATTCTCAAAAGCAAGATTGCGTGTACTCTGGCGCAAGAGTAATTGCAATGGGATTGGCATTGTATCCGCCTTGTCCTCCACACCCCTTGCTTCGATTCCATTTTACTTGCGTCGTACCACCATCAACGTCCTCATTTACGGATTAACCGGTCCTTCTCATTCTTCTTCCAGTCAACCAGACTCTTTCTTCTATTTTTATCTCCTCGCTTTCATCTTATTTCTATTTCTATTTTTACCTTTCTTTTTTACCGCTCTTCTTTATTTGTCACCCTCTCCTACTTTATATTCCTTTTCTGAGTGCTTCGGTGTCTATAGGGTGTACTATTTTTGTAAGAATCTTAAATTATTATTATATTTTCATTAAGAGATATTTAAATTTTTAAATATTCTGAACAGAGAATATAATATTGTTTCTTAACAAGAAACTACACCTCCACTCTCGAGCACCATGAACAAAAACTCGGTATGCTTATCGAGGACAGTATTATCTTTTTTTCGCGACAACTTTCACGTGCCTTTCTGAACGTGTCGAAAATGGAACGCGGTCTAATTTCACGCGCAAATTGACGCGGGACCTTTATAAATAATCGTATTTATATGCATTGGAATTCATGGGCCACCGTGGTCCCGTAAACAGCCGATTCAAGCAAGAAATCTGAATAATATGTACACGCATAGGAGTTGTAATATCGAATGTCCTTGCCTGCACTTATACATCCTCGTCGGTGTATCCGTTTCAATAATCTCGTACCGGGAAAACATTCATGTGTTTCTCGATTATGAACGTTGAAATATTCCATACTGAATATTAATCAGTTTTTTCATTATGATCCTGGTTTACTTTGTTGTATTTGAGAAAAAAATTATGATATCGAATGGGACAGTGTATTTATTTTTATACAAGTATTAATTTTTATTTTATTATCAATTTTCTATTCTTTTAGGAAATAATAAATTATAATTTATGCTGTTATTTTTTAGCAATGAGTAGAGAAATGGATGATTAGCGTCGTCCCGCCGCACAGTGGGGCGACCATATACCAATGTTGGACATTGGTATAATGAAGTATGAAGTAAATATAATTCGTTAAATATTTTATACTAATTGTTCATCGAAAATGAGCGTCTATATATTGATTCTTATTTTCGTCCTAGGATCGAGCCCTAGGGAACCCTAGCGGGCACATGGTACGAGCGTCAGCTTGAACCTCGGTAGTGGACCGACATCAGTCTGTGACTCAGGTACGCCTGTATAAGCCGTATAGTGCCATGATCAAGGCCCATCCGATGCAACTTATAAAGCAGCGCATCGTGCCAAACCGTATCAAACGCCTTGGCCAAATCAAGTAAGATCATTCGAAAACCTTGGCCACTTTCCACGCCGCGGGAAAGTATCCTAAGGTAGCGAATATAAATTATAATTTATGCTATAATTTAGAGCCTGGCATTAATCCTTGGATGACGGACCATGGAGGGAGCCCCATTTTAAATTTAATTTTGTTCTCTAAATTTTACACTGTACTTATACAAATTATGCATTTAACTAACGTATAATTAAATATATTTGTTATTTCATAAAAGAATTGAAATGAAATTCTAGCACAGGAATTCCATACACGTAATGTCGTGCAAACGAGACGCGCATCGTCTAATTCGACGGTGTTCCTTCAATTTGTCTCCATTACGCAGCCGATCAATTTAATTCATTGCGTTCATTGACTTCTCAATTGCGTAGCTTCAAGAGTTTCGATGTTCTTATTCGAATGATAACGTGATTCTTCCTACGTTTCAAGAATCGGTATCCTTGCTTTTTATATTAATTTTCGTTGATCGAGAACAGAGGAAAGAAAAAGAAGAGGAAGACCAAGCATCCTTGGAAATTGCAATGAATTCAATAAACAACAGTAAAAGATTATTGAAGGCGGTAGAAGGTTGTGAATTAATGATTCTTAACTTATCACGTCAATGTTTTACGACTCCTTGTTAGGAGAGCACCCGATAGGTATGACCCTGAAAGTCATGGAACTCCTTTCCAGAGACCCTTGAATTCAAGTATTTTGGAATAATATTAATAATGGTGATTTTCAAGTTGGGAATGATTTATAATAAAAATTATAATTTGAGTTTTGAATTTCAGTGATGATATATTGGAGTTATGGAACTCAATTATAATGATAGAGAAAGTGATAGTGAGTCACTAATGATCCTAAGGAATGGGACTCTACAACAATTATTCTCAAATCACAAAATTTAACAAATTAATAAACCTTATACCATAGAACTCAATTATAATAAATTTTTAACTCTCATCACTCTAAAATTATGGGATTTTAATTACCTCAAAATGCATTCTATTCAATTCTATTAACAAATCCTATATCATAGAACTGTATTCTACTCAATTTTTAATTCTAATTATTCTAAAATTATGAAACTAATATCTCCAAATTCAATCCTATCGACAATAACTGATTAACAAATCCTTCTCTAATTACTCATAATAATTAAAAATAACCCTCGACCTCACTCTATTCGGTAATAGCACTTCGGCTAATTGTAAGTTAAAGAGAATAATGAACGATAGAGTGTAGTTGGCGAGTGGTGTGTAGTCGAGTCTCGGACAGATGTTACCGTGAGAAAAAAGGCGAGAGCAAGGAGGCGGCTCGAAGGTGAAGGAAGCAAAAGTAAAAGTGACCGGTGGATCCTCGAGTGGAATCAAGCGATAGAGTTACCGCGCAGGAACGGAAAGACCGATTGCATTCCAAGAAAAGTGGAATCCAGCCAGTTTGCAACGTCCACCGTGTACGTGGTCGTGCACTCATCTTATCTAGTCCATATCGTCGCGGACAAACCACAGGAACTCCACATTATTCTTCAATCCCTGACCATTTATTACTATCTATCGGCGAACCAAAGTGGAAATAACTTTTTCAATATAAAATTGAAATTTTCCTATTTATATCGTTCTGTCTACTATTTTAAATAAATTCTATATTTCAATATATATTTTATTTTTATTTATTATAGATTATTTATTTTAGGATGCTATCTACTTTTATAAATAAATTCTATATTTCAACATACATTTTATTTTTATTTATTTTGGATTTTTTATTATATCCCTTATACATATCTTTTGCTTTATTTTCTATGAAGCAGTTGTGTTACTTAATCAAGGAAGAGGAACTTATTTTACTCTTCTTTTCATCAAACTCATTGGAATCATCATGGCGATGAAACTGATGGTTTCTATCAAGCGAGGATTATTCATTGGTCATGCAAATGCATACATATGTATATAACCACGTGAAAAGTGAATTTTACGAGTTCCAATGGCGACCACCGACGCATACCGTCGGTCAACTGACCGAGACGACCAAGAGTATTTAGCTTGCGACTCGCCTGTCGTCGAAAATTGCGACCCATAGCATTCGGCGAACCGGAAGTCGCGACCTGCTCGATGCCTTTTGGAATGCGACCACTGTCTCTGCTCGAATCATAGACGCCCGACGAATAGCGAGTAATTGCAACCGAGCCCTTTTTTTCATTTAATTATAACCGTCCTATTATTATTAAATAATAAAATAAAAAATTAATGCTTGAGAATTAAGAAATGAGATAAAACTTAAATAAGAAGAATGATTTATAGAAAAATTTTTCCCTATTTTTCTTCAAAATTCATTCGACGAGTATCTTTCCAAATTTAATTGAAATACAAATTTGTAAATCAAAAGATGGTATCTTTGGATCGTATTTCTGTTGAAGATGGAGAGATTTACCGATTACTGAAATATATAGATAAATGAACTTCCCCCTACATTGGATACAAGTGTTTGGAATAGTTTGTGGGAGAAAGTGAGTGGATATTTGAAAGCGACTTAATTCTAGGAACACACGTGGGGTTTGACGTAAGTAGTTGTGTGGGACGAGTACACAAACTGTTCTTGTCTCTTCTTCAATCATACAGTTGACAATGTATTATTCATTCCTAACGATTAACGGGGACAATTGTAATTTTTCATCGCTGGATTTTCGTTCAATCCTTTAAACGACACTTTTCGTTAGGGAACTTAATTACTTAGGTTTCATGAAATATTGTCTGTGATTTCAAGATGTTTGACTAAAAAGATATAATTTTTTCAATGATTCTATGTTTTTATATTAACACGTTGAATGCTATGGGGGTCACTGGTGACCGTACTGCAAATTACACATGTCTGAATAATTAAAAGAAAAGATAGAAAAGTATTATTTGAAATAATATTGCTATCGCATAAATAATGTAAAAATGCAATTAGAAAGCTTGAAATTTGAAAATTAATAATTAGATGCAAAATAGCGAATAGAAAGCTTGAAATTTGGAAATTAATTGTTCCTTTTTTTAATAATTAGATGTAAAATAGCAAATAGAAAGCTTGAAATTCGAAAATTAACTATTCCTATTTTTAATAACTAGATGCAAAATAGAAATTAGAAAGTTTGAAATTCGAAAATTAACTATTCCTATTTTTAATAATTAGTAAATACCCATTTTCACTGTAGCATTCAACGTGTTAAAAAAGAAATGATCTACATATAACGTGTTGCTAGTAATTTTGTTAATTCTAAAATTCTAAAAACTGAATAATCTGACACAGTAATGTAATGGTTCGTGTGTAAGTGATGTAATGAAAAAGAGACAGAGTAATGATAATAAAAAAATTCCACGTATTCTCGGCGTTTACATGATATTTATTTCTCATGTTTTATAGGTAATCCTTATAACATTTCTTACATATGGGAATATATACTCATCGGGCAAGTCAGAGAAATAAAAAACAAAAGAGATATTAATCGCCGTCCACTTACGTACTCTTCGAACATCCCTCAAAATAACTCTTTCTCTCTCATACACGTGTTATATCACTTACACAAGTATATCACTATAATTATATATCTCTCTTTCACTCTTCCATATCTTTTTTTTTTTGCAAATTTTTCTCCTTAATATACAAACGAGTAATGTTAAACTTTAATATTTATCGCCGTTAGTTTTCATTGTATCTAGTGAATCGTCGATCAATCATTAAACAACAATTAATCGTTAATTTTTTTCGTACACCTTTATGTGCGTCAGTCGTTGTCTTGCTTCGCTTATTCGACTTTCTATTTGCCATTTTATCTTTTCTTTTGTGCATACAACATCATTTTCAAAGTCAAACGGTGGCGAGGGAAAAGAATTGTTCTCGAGGGAACACGAGCACCGACGAAGAATGAAGAAATCGATCGCGAAGAAGTTTCTCTGAACCGGAAGTGCAGTGACGATCGCGGTTCATCGAGAGACCACGAGCACTTCCGGTTTCGCTTTCCAATTCCTTATTTTTTCTTCGCGATTAGCTCGTCGGTTTATCAAATTTTTCTCGATTAAAAATGCACTTTCCTTTTCCAAATCTTTACTTTTCTTTTTTTAATAGGAAAACTTGGAAAATTTTTCAAGCTACTTTGCAATTCGACGACCCCATTTTTGCAAATTTCATCGAGTAATAATTCAGGAGGAAAACTTGAAAAACTTTTCAAGTATTGCATTAATTTAAGTAGGTTAAAAGCAAAGATTCGTGTTTTCGATAACACAGTATATGCAAGCGGGACGATTTCGTTCGTTTTTCCGTTGCCTCGTTATCTCGATCACGCACGAATTTATTAAATCGAGTTTCCATTACGTAAAAGCAGAGAAACGAACCGTGAGAGGTTGAACGCATTCACCTCGAACGCGTTCTTTTTAATTAAGTGCATTTTTATTTGTATCCCAAATTGTTAACCGAACGCGTTCTTTTCAATTGATTTCAATGGTTATTCAACCTCTCGTTCTCTTAATGTTACTCTATTAAATAACTCCTTGCCTTTTTTTTTTAAATTGCCTTAGATAAATGCATTTTATATCGAATTCGATCAACTGTTTTCGCTCAACAACAAAAATCTATTATTTCTACAACACAGATCCACGTATCGCAATTATTATAATAAAAATAATGCATGATTTTTATGGAACACAAACACAACTCGTGAAGAGTATTGAAAAATAAAAGTAAAAATTTGTATCGTCACACGTCTGTTGTAATTAATTAACAATATCTGGCATCGAAATCAATTAAACACAATCTAGATGCGCGGCATTCGAACCGAATCAATTTTAATTCCTCATCGATCACGATCCACGAACTCATCATTTAGCACAATTATTAAAAATATTGTTTCTAAACAAAAAGAAAAGACATACTTATTTTTGAGTTTAAAAATAATATCGGGGAGAACCCTGCTGATTGGTGCTCGTTCGAAGAAGTTACACGTTGCTGTGTCATACTGTGGAGCAGCGACCGGAAACGGACGGAAGTTCCGTCGCTTCGATCGATCTACACTAGGGATGTGCGGCCCGACTAGTCGGGTCGGTTCGGAAAACATCGGCCGGGCTAGGGCAGGCGTGCGGTCGGGTAGCCCGACTATTTCGGATTATCTTATTCCAAAATTCCATATAAAACAGATTTTTGCAAGTATTAACAAGTACATGAGAGTTGGATCACGAGCCGCGGCCCGCGGGAGCTCGTCCGAGTCAGTCCGACTGTCCCCGACTGAACCGGAAATAGTTGGGCCACCCGACTGCACGCATGTATCGGACGCCCGCCCGAGCCCGCCCGAGCCCGCCCGAGCCCGTAATATCGGGTATCGGCACATCCCTAATCTACACTAGTACACGAAGCTATTTAAACAGCAATAGATTCATAATTAAAATTAATATATTTTTTAAGTAATTCTCAATGTTTTTGGTAGACAATATTTTGGAGGTGAATAATCCTCCCATATTTTTCAAATTATATAATTTCTTTATTTGACAATTTTGAGCGAGTGGGAAAGTTGTTTAATTAGCGAAGATTAATTACGAATATATTGGTGTTTCAATACCCTTATGTACGTGTGCACTTCCTCTTCGCGTGATGCCAGATTGGAAATGCTTGTAAACATCCGAGAAAAATTTCTATTTATTCTTTTTTTGTTATTTTTCATTTCTTCTTCTTTTTTTGAAAACAATTAATCAGCAAACGAATACTGATCTTTTGGTACAAAAGGAATAGCGAGAGAATCTGGCATCACCGAGGATCCGCGAAGGAATGACAGCTAAATGATTCTAATACGACGCTAATTCGTAAATGGTAAAAACGCTGGGTTCGCGAGCCCTTCGTGTCCCGAATTTTGAGATCTGGGATGCCATTAAATCTTCTTCAATTTCATTTTGCTTTTGTTAATGCAACGAAGCAAAATGCGCATCCAAAGTAGCATTTTTTTTTTTTTTTTCAAGTAGAATTCATCGGACACGAGAGGACTACGAAACGCTCTGATTATTCTTAATCGTTAAAATCTGCGCGATTATTTCAAATAGACGAGGATTGTGGCGCGAGAGTTCGGGATCTCGCGAGTTCCTTTTCTAATCGAGGATATCTATTCTTCTCCAGAGGATTCGAAATCAAATCCTCAAAGCATTTATCGTGAAATACAATCAGCCTTCGTTAGAAAGTGTATCAAATCAAGAAAAGAAAAAAAGGGGCTAATGATATAATTATAAGAAATTAATTATAATGATATAATTCTATTCAAATAAATTAATAATATAACGTTTTCAAGTTTTGCAATTATAATTGAAAACGATTTGAAGAACACTATGATTAAAGTACCAACATGGTTTTAATCATTTATATTTATCATTTTTGAAAATTTTTGATCTGCAATTAAATCAAATTCCCGTATTTCACGTATATATTTAAAAAAGATAAAAATAAGCGAAATTTTTAAAATGCTAATTAATTATCGACAATTTCGCGATGAACTTCAAAGTTTGATCCTCGGTTGATCTTTTTATTTTTTGATCCTCGATTTTAGGAAATTTCTATATCTAACATTTCTACGCTTGGATTTTTCTATGCCATCATTTGTTATCGTTAAGCTTAGCCTAATCAGAATAGAACGTCGCGTTTGTACAGCTTATCGAGTATCTGCGATCAGTCTGTCCGAGCTTCGATATTTCGACAACGAATCGTTCTTTTTTTTTATCTATTCTTCTCAAAATCGAACGAAGATACGCGACTTGGAAATTTTTTTCTCTTCGTTTCGTAGGCTTTCGCTTCCTGTTTGATTCTTTCGAGGATCCAGACGATCTTCAGGGGATCCAGTACTTTTACAATGATGTTTTAACCCTTCTTCGATTTACGAATAATACTTTAACAATTACCTGAAAATCTATGCAATTCAGCGTTAAATAAATTGAAAAATATAATTTTTAAAAATCGGACAATTTTCGTCCACGAATCGAATTAATTATTATTAAATAACTGCGGAGAAATATTTATAGTGTTTGATATTTTTCATTTTTTCTTTCTTCTCTACTTGTAATAATGGCCTCCGAAAATCCGAGGATCCGAAGAAGGGTCACTTTTCTTAATTTATCTTCTAGGTGAACGGAGGAGACAGTCTCGCTGGTATTCGTATTAAAATAGAATGGAAGTGTACACGGATGAATAAAATGGACGTGTATGCCTAAATTCCTAGTTAATTTCGTTTGATGCAGAAGCGGAATCGGCGAATCTACGGGCGATCAGTGAATCGACGACGAAAGATGACCTGATGGAAAATCAAAGAATTTCAAATTTCCTTATTCAACCCTCGGATGGTGGAATTATTTTTTAGCGGATGGTTAATTTTAATTTCGGTCATAATCGACCCGACCACCATCGTTCAAGGGTGAAAGAATCCACGAGGGATGGAAACCTTGTTTCGCAATATCTTAACATTAGTCGATTATATTTTTTTGATTTAGGTTTTAATTAATCTTCGTATCCTTCTTCTTTACTTATGTTATTAATGCAATTTTAGTCTTCTGCTCGAAAAATTCTGAATCGTTCCCTTAAATCTAGATTCAAAAGTTACAGTATTTTAATGGCTACACTAAATTTCTTAAAGTTTCGTCTCAAAGAATATATATGTATATATTTATCCATCAAAAATGAAAGTTTGCCACCAAAGTGGTCGATCAGTCGTCTCTTGAATTATTATATATACTCACTTATTTATTCGAAAAGTAGCAACCAAAGAATCCTAATTTAAAGGAAAATTTCAAAATTCTATTAAAATTAACCCGGTATTCGTTTAAAGATAAGAAAAATAATACTTAACACTCTGAAGGCTCCACATTTTATGGAATCTATGATTTTTTCAATTTTATGCTTCTCATAATATTTCAATGAAAATTATTTAAGAATAATAATTTTCAGCCATAAGTATCAGTAAAATATTATTTCCCAAAGTGTATTAGACATATGTATTTGCGTTCCTTTGTCTCCCATCACGCATCCCTCCATTTTATTTTTTATTTTCTATCATCAAACATTCAAAAGTAAAAGAAAAAAGAATGATAATAATAAAAAATCCAATCGATCGTCGTAATAATCAGTGATAGGAGAACTCTTGCAGAATCCTTTTCAACCACTGAATAATAACCATAGCGTCGAGTGTAAATGCATTTTATTTTCTCTTCTCTTTCAAATATAAAAAAGAATCAATATAATCATTCATCGGAGCGAGTACAGTGTCGCGCGGAATCATCGTACCAAAAAAAAAAAAGAAAACTTCCTGTGGCGAGCGTAATTTTTCTTTTTTATGGTTATTATTCACGTTCGAGCCTCGGAGTGATTGCTCGTGCGATCAATACGGAAAAACAACAAAAAAGAGAAAAAAAAACTAGAATTAATAAAGAAGGAATAACGATGATCTCGTTAACGATCCGATTCGAAATCATCTTACAGTTTTGTCATTGTAGATCGTAACGAGAACACCTTCCAACAATTTTGTTTCTTTAAAATCATTATTTCGTGACTCTGATTTACCTGCGGTTCATTGATCGATGATTACGGTCATCGATCACGCTCTCGTACGATAATTACAATTAAACGACGCGAAAATTACAATAAATTTGTACACACGCGACGGAACGCAGCTGGCGAAATCCTCTTTGAATCTTGGCTCACCGACTTAAAAACCTACTGCTATTTTTTTTTTTTTTTTTTTTTTTTGGAATTTTCTTCAATTTTTATCCGTGTGCAACTACTTCTCTTTTCGTGTTCATCTAAGTCGTTTCGCAAAATTTTTCTGCTTGTTCGTCGTTCGATCATCTGATCGTTTATCGATTTTTTTTTAACAATTTTCGAATTGCCGTGTTTCAATTAGAATCTCGTTTCGAGGATGAATGTGGAATTCAACGCGAGAAACGAACGTCAACGAGGTGAAATTAATTTCCTTGATTACAATTCAGAGGGTGATTTTGAGGCTGTAATAAGAAATTCATTTCTCTGAAGATATTTAAAACTAACTCTATAGGTGATGTGAATTGATGATTAATACACTGTGACAGTCAACGTGTTAATGATAAGATAATGGCTGAGATTAGTTTTCATCCCCTAAGTTATCAGAGAAATTAATTCAGAGAAATGAAGAAAAAGAACCTATAATTATATAGAGGGGTCTTGGAATACCCCGTTCAGTTAAATGACACATGACATTAATTAGAATTTTGCAATTAATATCCCACCAGAGTCAATGAAATGAATGCACAGAACTTTTCATTAATAAAAATTGCAAAGTATCATAAATAATCTAATCACACTCTCAAATAAAAAAATTAATATAATAATTAATGAGAAACAATTTCAACCCCGACTGTTCAATAATTCCGGAAGAATTCACCGATCAAAAGGAACCTGACGTCATCAAATAACGCTTCATTTGATTCAAGAACAATGATAATTCGAAGGAAGAATGATCAATCTTCTTATCAAAGAAGCATCTCAATCAGTCCGAGGCTTATCTATCTCTGATCAAGAAATTAGTCGCGATAAACTGGCGACCGGTCTGTTATTATCTTCGCACGATGATCGATCATCCAGGCAAAACGAACGACAAAAAATCATGAAGGATCATCGATAAACAAACGACGAACGAACATTTATGACAATATCTGTAGCTTGCGATTAAAACCGGCTATCTCTGAATTATTCCCTTTCGTTATAAAATATCATTTTCCTCCTGCTATCCTACGAATTCACAGCGGTTTCTCATCATCGATCGTATTTATCATTTTCATCTAAAAATTAATTCATCGTCCGTAAAAAAAAGGTTCGATTCGAAGAGAGGCGAGCGACACGATTAAAATTGATGAAATCTGTTTGAAAACCATCCGATTTAACCCTTCAACCATCAAGGAAATTCTTCTAAAGAAAGATTAAAAAATTCTATATAGACTGTAAAAGATATAACACATTGATAAAAGAACACGAGTTTAATAAATCTGTTTGGTTAAAGGGTTAACACCATATAGATCGTAATCCTGTCAGCTATATTAAAAAAAAGACAATGATTCTAGTACCAATTAACACGTTGACTGCTGTGGGGGGTAATTAGCGGCCGACTAATAGAATTCTGAATACAAACCAGGCGAAGAACCAATCTCGGCGAAGAAAAGCGAAATTCTGTATTATATTCAAAGGGATTGACATTTTCGTTCCCCTTTCAGTGACATAACCACGCGCTCTAATTAAAAGGTTATCGATAAAAATAGGTATTGTTGGAAAATAATAAATGGTTAACAGGTTTGAAAATTATAAAATATATCATAGCTGTATTTAATACTATACTTTTGAAAATAAAATATTTTAAAAAGATAAAAATTTATTATTCACGCTAACGGAATGATTAAAATCTCTTTGAACAGCAGAAGAAGCAGAAGAAGAAGATAATTTTCATAGAAATAATTTGGGAACGAAATGGATAAATCAGCCGGTTTAAAAGAGGGTGGTGGTGGTGGTGGTGGTGGTGTAGTTAGGGAATGAGCAGGATGGTGGAGGTGCACCGGGTGCAGAACACGCTAGTCGTCCTGGCTCTCCTTAGCATTAACACGCGATATACCAGAAAAACCAGTTTGCGTGGTCTTTTTATTAGGCCTTTACTTTCGCTTGCAAACTGAAAGGAAGAGTGAGCGAGCGAGGCCTGCTAAAGTAGCGAGCGAGCGAGTAAAGTGACTGACTGTGCCTAACTAACGGGGTCACCAGTCTATACGGACACGCATGTAAAGACAAGACCCGAGTACTTGCATACATCCTTTCTCTCTATGATTCTTCATGCGCGCGCACACGTGTACGTGTAACGAAGAACGCTCGAGGGAGATACACACAGTCCACCTCCGTTCGCGGTGTATACCGAGATACAATACGCCTGGTACACGCGTGTACTCGCGCGCGGGTAAACGCACTCAACACTCTCGCTCGCGGTATTAAATAATTACCGCTATCTAATAAAGAAAGTTATGCAAGCCTACGAGAGACTAGGGTCGCCGCAAAGATCGCTCGATTTGGGTATCTCTTAAAGAGATTTATGTCTATTCAAATGTCACCCCTTCGATTTTAACCCTTTCATTGCTAGCGATGGCTATGGACGCTTAGGAGTCCGCTCTTGGGTGTTCAATCAATTTTAGAAATTTTTTAATATTCCTTAATTTTCCATACCTTCTTTTCAGGAAAAGGGTTAATGAGCTTTTGCACCTTAATAGATGGTGTCATAGAGAATCTTGTGCAACCTGTGTGTAATTTTTGATATAGATGATCAATAGCTAAAAAATATCTAATGTTAAAGTTTTGATAAGATTTATTTACTCTGATTGTAGATTTTCAATAAAGGAGCGACTGAATATAGAAAATAATGAAAATGTAATTTTGTAATTTCTAGGGTCAAAGGGAAGTATTATAATATGATATTATGATAATATCATAAATAATATGGTAAGTAAACTCTATTGGTACTAGTGTTGGAAGATTCTATTATAATATGATATATTATATCATAGTATGATAGATAAACCCTATTTGGACTTCATCACTAAATATCTTCTAAACTAGCAATCATCTACACCCAAAATTATGCATAGGAATTCCTAACAATCTGATTTATTAAAATGCAAAGGCTTATTAAAATCTCAAGAGACAGCTGAGGAATTTTCCTTATTAAAAAAATTGTCCACCTTCGAGAGGTGTTTTTCGTTTGTCCTTTGTGCCTGGATCATCTTCTATCTATTTAACAATATTTATTTATTATTTCAATATTCTACTATGATTTTTTTTTGCATCGCGTGTGTGATGATTGTTTTTCATGAAAATTAAAGAAACGAATGGAAAATGTCTCTCTCACCCCCTATTTCTTCTCCTCCACACTTTTCTGTTCCTTTTCTGTCGCTCTTACTTTTCTCTCTCTCTCTCTCTCTCTCTCTCTCTCTCTATTTACGTACAATTACTTTTCATTCTCTCGTTGTCGCACCAATCGCGCTGCTCATCCTCGAATTTCAATCTTCCTATATCACGTAACAGTAGTATCTAAATGAAATGTGTTCACAGCCACACATTAATATTTATACATAGATTTTATACATGTATTTATATATTTAAATATATATATATATTTATATATTTATAATAATTCTTGTTGCAAACGCCACGCCCGTTAATGTTTTTTGTCTATCGGTTCGCTTGATTACTTTTTTTTTTGTTGTTGCTGAAATCTGTGTTACCACTACCATTATTTTCTCTCAGTTACACGTTTTCGAAATATTTTTCTTTTTTATATATATATATATATGTTTTTTTTGTATTTTACTTTTTTGTATTACGGAAAAAAAGAAATAGACGACCATGGAACCTTTTTTTCGCTACTATAAATGTCAGTCGTGATTTAACTCCAGTCGTGTTTCCAATAGTCGCCCTACGATTTTTTATTTTTCTCCCTCGTCGCCGGCGTTTTCTACTCATCGACAATATTATATTTTCTTTTAAACGCTCGCTCCCGCTTCGTAACCGAACTTCCGCTTCCGCTCGGAATGACTTGGAGAACGGATTAACCGGCAAGAGGTAGCGCTCGGTCCGCGCTCCTGACTCTCAGAACACTTTTTCTATCATTCTCGGGGAACAATAAACGGCTCCCGTCCGCGACCCGCACCGAGAACAGCGCGTCTCTTCTACTACCACCGAGTGTCTCCTCTCGTAAACTAACTATATATCATAATTTTCGCGCGTACGCATGCGTTCCGTTTTTTTTTTTTCCTTTATATCTTTCTCTACCATCCGTTCGAATTTCATTAGGCACAACACATTTTTGTTACAATTGTATTCATTTTTCATTTTTTTTTCTTTTTTTTGTCATTTTAATCATTTCTTTTGTAATATATGTTTTTTGTTTTTGGAGTCTTGTAGTCTCTCGGTTGATCCCCTACGACCGTGTTGCAGCAAGTGCCATCGGTAATTGGTCCTTACCCCCGCGCGACAACTAAACGGCCACCGCAGAGTTGGATTTAAACGCGTCCAAGAGAAACGAAAAGACCCTACCCACCGGACGGATCAGCTGGTAAAGTTAGATTGAAAACCGATCCGTCCCGTTTAATTCTTTTCTTTCCCTCTATTCTTCAGTCTTCCTTAAACCTGTTTCACCGACTCCTCATGGACACCGGATGTACCACGATCTCTGATTGGCTCCATTCCCATTAATTCCGACGAGTTATCTCGTCTACGTCACACTCTGGACAGGCATTACACATTTGGATGCTCGACCTGATGTGGTCCCCGACCGTCAACTGAGGAGCAAGCAGCGTTCCTTTGACTCGCGACGACGTACGTCGTGGTCGTCGTCGTCGTCGTCGTCCTCGTGATCCCCAAGAGGGGACGAGCCAACGGGATCAGCCGGGTCGCATCTATGGTAGCCTGATCGAGGATGATGATGATATTGGCCAACGAACGCGGTAGACTCGATCCGGGTCCGGGTTTTGTTAGCGAGGATGGTGGAAGCGTGGCGTTGAAGGTCGGTGGTGGTCGTAGCGGTGGTGATGGCGGTGCTAGTTGCGACGATGTCGTCTAGGTCGCATCACGACGAGCAAGCCATCCACGAGTTACAGGTGCACGTGTAGCACGCGGTGGGTATAACTGGAGCGTAATAGTAACCGTTCGCGTAAACGTAGGTGGCCGGAGGTCCGGGTGGTGCTTGTTGATGATTCGTCAACCGTTGCTGTTGTTCCTGACAGAATACCTGATAGGCGAGGCTCTCGATCAGAGCCAAGGTCTGTCGTCTCTCGTGTCCCATCAGGCACACGGTGGACTCCTCCACCACGCTGTGGAGTAGCATCAGGTACTGATACTTGAGGGCCTCCTCCTCGGGCCCGACGAAATGGTTCCACAGGTAGTTCTCGAGTTTCGCTCGTTGCTGGCTTATATCGGGAAAGTCGATGAAGAATCTCGAGCACATGTATCGCTCGAGGGTCTTTATGTAGTCGGGCTGGGACGGTTTGTACATCTTCACCAGTAGATTGCAGTACTTGAGCAAACCGCCGCCGCGTATCTCTTCCGGGTGCCTCGTCGAGATCAGTTTCTTGTGAAGATGATACAACGCCTCTTGGAAGTCACCGTAAACCGACTCCCCTACGACGGTCGGATAGAAATTCTCACCGATCGGTAATTTGCTGCACTCGTAGAACAACAATAGAGAATCGAGGACGATCTGAAATGAGTCGACGGAGAACTCGAATTGCCGCCTCATCGTGTCGACGAACTTAAGCTCGACGTTCCTGTGACCTCGGGAATTGCCAAGGGAGATCAGGGACCATCTGTCACCGTCGTTGTTCACTTTCACCATCTTGCTCACGTACGCCTCTTTCAGGCTGCACGTGGTTATACGTTTGCGGCTGACCCCTTCTGGCAACAGGTCGAACAACGAGCCGAGAACCGCGGCCTTCACCTTGTCGTAATTTCGCCCGCTCGATAATTCCACGGCGAATATAAGGTCCAGGTCGTTGTACGGCTGAGACTCGGTTGCCAATACGTGAGATGCCGCGCCTCCGTTTAATCTTATATCGCGTACCCTCATTCCGGCGCCGCCGTTGCTCGGATCGGTCTCCAATTTGCTCCGTACCACGGTCACCAGGTCCCTTAATCGCACCTCCAACGTAGGGAAGTTTCCTCTACCGTGAATGCACACCACCTCGTTCATCACATCGTTCAATCGTCGCACTTGCTCGAAACTCAGCACCGCCAACCTCTGCTGAGGATCCGGGCAGTCTGGGTTGTTGTTGTTATTGTTGTTGCTATTGGTCGTAGTGTTCTCGTTGCCGCCGTTGCTCTTGGTGCCGTTCACCTGGCACAGGGACTCCATCATAGCGACCCGACGCTGGCGTTCCTCGCCGATCTCCAGGGAGCCACACTGCAATCAGAAATCAAACGAGTATTGTTATTCCTTTTATCATTTCTCGATTAATAATACCTGAAAAAATTGAAAGGCACTGATTGAAGGATCTTCGTTAAAATTTATCGTATTGAAATTATTTCGGGTAACAAAACGAGTATTATAGATAAGTGAAGAACAAGGTATTGTTTCAATGGCCCTCTTAACCCGATCAATGACCTCCGCTGATTGGTGTGATCGTCAATGGAATCAGCGTCAATGGGTGTAATATCGATGCGAGATCGCAGTAGAACACGAACGAACATGGTCAGACGAATAATTATGTGTAGCTAATAAAAATTGTTTTAATTGAAATTAATTATAAATCTCTATCACTAAATAGCACAACACCTGTTCTGTCCTCTGTAATTAAAAAATTAAAGTTTAAATCCAGATAGAATGTTTAATCAGACATGTTTCGACGATCAGCTGTTCGAAAAGTGCACGAGAAACGATTCAAAGTAACAGCCTGGATAATTCAGCAGAGATCGTACTATCAGAAATCATTTTGAACTCGTTCGACACCATGATACCGTACAATTATCGTCGTTTCATTAGCAAATGATAAGTCGATTATTAGCTAAGAGACATCGTTATCGACACGATAGCTCGATACGTCAATCGAATCGGTCATTAGATAAATTTCTCATGAACCGAGTGCAATATTCGCTCTTTTCACGCTATCATTTTCACCGTGCACTTGGAAATGACAACACCTAATCATGGTAACTTCGTTAGCTAATAGCGACACGCGTACACAAGCACGTATAGTCGATTACCAGTCAGTTGCGTCACAGTTTTCGATCCACTTTGCGACGTTCTGTTTCTATCTTTGGTACACTTAACATAGTTTGACAGCCGGTAAATATTTCTACTTTTCTATTACGAATTTTCAAATTTCATTTCATACATCATTATTCGATTCAGTTACCATTTTATAAAACTGGTAATTGCGAACAATAATTAAAGAATCCTTAGTTCAATTAACTAGACGATCATTGCGATCCTCCTAATCCAAAGAAGAGTCAAAATACAAATTATACAAACTCTCAAATATTAATTTTATCGAATTTTATATACTCATTTCAGAAATGTAATGTTTTTAAAATTTCGTTTGGTATTAATATTTTTATTTTTCAAATTAAGAGTATATCCACTGATAATAAAATTCCAAGTATCATTAACGCTCCATGGATACCAAGTCCCACCCACGGTATCCCCGATAGAAACAATGGTGATCGCACTATAACAATCGTATCCGTCAGAACTATTGATCCCAACAATCTCACTCGATTCGTTGCACCAGAATCGCTGAAGAAATCACAAGAATGAATCGCAAGCCATCATCATCGAACGCGTTTCCGTAATTACGTTAACGGGGTTACTTCCTCGTGGATGGTCAGCTGAGATTCACCTGAACGCTCATCAGAGTCGAGCGTCCAAGGAACTTTCACTCGAATGAGAAGAAGAAGAGGCACCACCTGTGGAACACCATCGAAGCCATCGAGGCTTACCATGAAGAAGCACTCGACGTGGTCGAGTGGGTCCTTGGTTCACCGGTCCAGTATCTCGTTCCAGAAGCTTCTTTAACGACGAACAGCTGAGAATGAATCCCGCCAGAAAGAAGGAAGCGTGCGCTAAACGATACGGAGGGCTTCGGTTCAAACCGAGAGATCCGAAGCTGATGAGAGGCACCAGCGAACTGAGGCCAGCGCAGTGAAAGGAGAACGAGGAGGACTGAGGACGGAGGTGGTGGTGGTGGTGGCGGAGGTGGAGGCGATAGCACCGTCGGTAGCGGCGTCGCGAATGCACTAGGGAGGGAGGTAGAGGGGCAGCACAAAGCTATCATTGCTATCGATACGTGTTGCTACTTCGCTGCATCATGGAATAGGTTTGAGACAGTTGGGTGCTGCTTGGGTCCATGGATGATGGATCTTTCGGGGTTGGAGGTTTATTGGATGCTTTATTAACCCTTTCAATGATAGGGGCGAAGGAAAATTGGATGTTTTATTGACTCAGGAATATTAAGGAAAGGGGATAGAAAAATACATTTTGGATTCATATTTGGGTGATGGATTCTTTCTGAGTATTTCCAATAAGGTGCTCTATTAACTCTATAAGGACTAAAAGAGGGTAAGGATAAAGAACTAGAATTGTTATTTATATGTCTTGCCGTGACCATGAAATTAATTTGGATTTAGAATGTAGATACTTGGGTGACAATGTAGATCCATGGTTGGAAGGTGAGCTCTTTTAATAATGACGAGGACTATTGTGTGTTCTATTAATCTTAGAAAGATTAAGAGGGGGTAGCATAAAGATATCATTACTATTTCTATACACTATGAAATGCGTTTGTGTCTAAACTTGGACTGAGATAGTTGGGTGCTGTTTTTGGATCCACGTTTGAATGGTGAACCCTTTCAATATTATATGTGAAGGAAACCTACCGAGTGTGCTATTAATATACTCAGATGTTAAATAACTTGTGATTTAGAACACTTTGAATGCTTTAATGATCACCGATGATTCGATAAATGAGAAGAAAATTAAGGAAAATTCTAATAAAAATGAACATTAACGAACCTTAAAATTTTTGTTGCTTATTTTAAACGAAGTTATATTCGTTGCTACAACAAACGTTCGTGCACTTTCTCGACGCTGTTGCATCAATACTTTTTGCGCTCCTCGCGGAAATTACGTAATCAAAAGTTCGCAAAGTTAAGCGGTGCGAAACGCTTAATCAATCTCAAGGTTGGAAACTCTTACTCTTATCGGTTGTCTCATTTTCAAACACTATTTTACGAGAACCATGCTTCGAAATAATGAAACAATAGATTCTCGGAAGAATACCTCTCTAACGCTTTCACAATTTCCATATTTAATATTTTACATATCGGTGAATTATTTGTCAAGGATATTCATCGAAACCACAAATAATGTCTGTTGAAATATTTCTTGTATTATATCATTCAACAAAATTTCTTGGTTTCCGATAAGAATAACGTTATCATGTGTGTTATTTAAAGTTCAATTTCGGATGAACTTGATTCCTCCATTATCTGCCATTTTTCAAATTAAAACCAAAACTTCCATTCTCTTACGGATCATTGTATTATCAGCATAGAAAGATTTAAAAATATCTGACAAATTATCAAATCTTTTGATAATTATTTCTATTATCTTCATTTCTTTCAAAATAAAAAAAAAAAAAACATAAAAAATACTTAGTTACGATTAAAATTATCTTTTAGTTCAAAATTCAAAACTTGTATAAAACTTACGATATATTATTTTTGATCCTGTTATCGCTGTCCTTATGTATCAGACAGCCATAAATAAACTTTCAAAACAAACCTCATCAACCCCCCTTCTTTCTGCTCCGCTACTCTATCACAGCAAGAACGAAACAGTTATGCTCAAATCAACTGGAAAAACGATCTGCCTTCGAGTTAAACTCTGATCAACCAGAAAGGAAGAAAAATAGAAAGGATAGAAGGGGAACAGTGGCCCAGATCCTACCCTTGAATCTCCCTCGTGTTCCATCAGCGACTTCAATGACGTCACGCGAGGAACGCGTGGGTGTCTCTGAATGAACCAGCCAGGCTAAGGTTATATTCTGCCCGTAGGTTCACCTACCACAGATGTTTTTGTGTGCGAAATTTTGTGTCGGTGTGAAGTAGGGTGCCGTATTTCCTCGACGCCCACGCGTCGAACCGGGAAACATAGAGAGGAGGAAGGAGGAGGCTGGACCAACGAGGACGGTCGACAAAGTATTATCGATCTCTCCTCCTCTCTTAGCAGTCGTCAACCCACGTAAACCGCACAATCGACCCTTATTTTTAAGGATGGGGGTGCTCTCTGACGAAATACGTGGACAAGAGGGTGGTACTTGGAATTTTTCTTGCTTTACTTGTTGAAAAGGATTCGTACATGGTGATACTTGAGTAGCTCTTTTTAAGGTAATTTAGATTACATTATTTTCTAATTAACACAGTAATTTATTACTTATATCATTAAGAATTTTTTTACTTAGTTAATTAAAAATATATTCATATTAGACAATGATATTTTAAATAATGAAATATTGTAAAAATAATAGATAACTAACTTTTCCAGGCTTCTCCAGGAAAAAAGGTAACGTCCTGGGTTCTCATCCTTCCCCTTAGGCGTTTCCGAGGAAAATGACGATGCAGAGGAGGAGGCCCCGTATATATAGGCCCGTGGCAGACCACCACTTGCGTATACGCGGGAAAATTTGAATTGATATTTATTTATTATTCATTTTTCTCAGTTATATACTAAATTTTATAACATATAATAATAAAAAGTTATACTACCTTTTGTTCTAAATTACTTTTACTATTAATATCTTCAAAATTAAGACTCTAAACATTCATGCTTTCCCTATATCATTATTTTCCCTGGAAATGACCATTTCACAGTAAACAGTGAATAACACATGGAAAGTTGGAATAATTTTTAGAAACATTATTCGAACCACGTGAAAGGACACATGTTTTCATATTATATACTGTGGATGGTGTGCATAGCGATTATGAACTGTTCTTAGTGTACTATGAGTAGGGGTTGGTTCGTTCATCATTAAAAACGTCTGAATCAGTATTTTGTGAAATTTAACGTAGATGAATTTTAACAATTTCGTCAGTAATGAAGAAGAAAGAATAACTGAAACTCTTAGGGTTGAATTTCTATGTTATTTTAGCTTGAATCAATCACTGTCCCTCCCCTTTCTTATTTCAGTCAGAATCAATTGTGAATTTTGGAATTTAATAAATTAACGGTACTCTTGAACCAATGATTTCGTTTGATAAATGGAAACATTAAGAGAAATGATTAAATATAGTCTACCTATTATTTTCTCGATGGAATATTGTTGCTATTCATTCCATACTTTTTCCTCGTCACAAAACATTGTCAAAAACTGATAGACACCACCTCATATTTCCGCCCCATTTTCCTCAACTTTTCCTCTAAATTGTATTCCTAAATGTCACGTGTTTACGAAGCAACGAAAATAGAAAGAAGCTCCTCAATTTTCTACCACAAAATAAAACATCCCTTATTTACGTTAACATGCCTAGTTTTTGTCTGGAAATTAAATTAGAGATTGTTAAAGAAGATATTTCTAGCTTATGATAGGATGAACGGTACGTATTAACCAGTCGAGTTTGCGTAACACGGTAAATATGCTAACGAGAACAAAAATCTGGCAAGCGTTATTATGTCTACGTTGGAGGTCTTCAACGTTGCGTTGGAATCTGCTTTCAAATGAACCCGATCGACCTTTCCGCACGAACAGATTCTTACGAGCAACAATCATACTCTAGGTTGGTATTTGATTCTATGTGGATCGATTTCAATGAGGCTTTGATGTAGGAGATATGGTGATATGTGTAGGAAAAAATTGAAAAATATCGAAGTAAAATTTAACCCTTTGGACTCAAATCGGTGTAACTAGGTAGGGGCTAGGGCCTGTCCCTCTCCCCAAAATTTTTATTAGCCCATCTTCAAAACTGTGGACCCCTTTCTATTCTAAAATTTAAAAATTTCAGAATTCAACAATTTTAGAATTTTAAAACTTCATAATTGTAGAATTTCAAAATTCCAATATTTCAGAATTACAAAATTAGAAAATTACTAAGAGACCCATCCCGCCCCAAAATAGCCCAATACACTATCCTATATAAAATAAAAAACGTCCCACAGTTTTTTTGATATCTCGAATTCCTTCCAATTACAGACGAAATTAAATTCATCAACGCCGGTCATCAATGAGCCCTCCCTAAAGAGATGACGAATAATGGACGATTAAAGGCAACAACAGAGCCATTATTTCGATCGATCGAACCAGCATCCATTTGACTAGGAAACACGACGATACATTATCGGAGGACGGTCGTCAAGAAGATTAGGAGTCTGGGGAACGTTTCCAGGAACGAGGCAACAGAGATTACGCAAACTCCTGGTAAAACGTTCCTCTCGTCAGCAAGGAAATTCACGCGAATTAATTTCAGTGAAATCTCGAGGTGATCGGGACGCGGAAAAACCGGCAGCCTCGTCGCGCATCCGGAAGCGTTCGAATGCAGGTAACTGCAAGGGTCAACGAATGGCTGCAGCGTACAAGATGCAGGGGAATGCACCGTGGCCAGATGAGGATCGTCGACGGGATGGGTTCACAGGCTATGTGAAATCGTAATGTTTCGCTTTCCTACGGTCACCACAAGTTTCTCCGACCTGATGTATATATGGTAAAATGTCGATTAAATAAACTAATGGGTAAACGAACAAGTTTCCATAAGCAATTTTTATTCTAATTAGGATAATTGCTTGGACGTCATCAAATTTCCAAATATGGTATAAAACCTCTCGAATGTGGATAAATATTTATCGCTTGAAAATAAATTCCATCCAAAGTGTAATCTAATTCAATCGAATGCATTTCGAGCCTTGTAATGCACACAGTGATAATATTTGATTTCAAAGGGATAAACTTTTGAAAATTTCGACAGAAATTATTGGAAAACAGAATTTCTGATCAAATAAATAGATCAAGTATGAAAATAATTCGTATTCGATTGCAATAATATTGATAGAGACTGATCGCGTTTTGGTCGATTGTAATCGCGGATAATAAGGTAAAAGCGAATTTACGTGAAACGTGACGGCAAACTAGGAAAAATACTGTTCATTGAATTGCAAATTACGGCAGACTTCTGCCGGCATTATCTACACTTGATAAAATTCAATTACGCTCGTTTGTTTGCGCTTGCGAATGAATGCGTTACAAACCCGGGCGCGATAGGGAACAGCTTTTACACTCTGTTACTTTTTGAATTCTACCATCCTCTCCGTTTCGCAATTTCCATTCCGCTCTATTTCTTTCATCATTTCAATTTGCTGCTTAATAATTTATTCGTTACGATCAATACTGATTAATTTATCGCTACACTCTCTTTATGTCTAACAGCTATTCTTACAAACGCATCGCGTGAAATAGACTTTTATTGAATGAATGAATTCTAAGAACACCTACATCTAGAAGACTTATACGTAACTTTTTTATTAGAGTAAATTGAGAGAAATTAGAGTGTTCAAGATAGTATCAAATAAGAATCTAGAGAGTTCTGTATAATAAATTCAAAAATCTTTATTAATTGTAGTAAATTTTGTTAAAATTTAAGAACCAAAATATGTAATTCTTTAATGGAATAAAAATTAACCTTCACCCACTTACGAAAAATATTTAATACTGTCAAACAAGTTTTTCTCATTGTCAGTTAAAAATTGAACAATCTATATAGAGAAATGCAGTCGATAAATTAGAAAAGGCGATCGGAATAGAGTAATAAGTCAGGCCGAAAGGTGCACGCGTTTAATCAATCGCAGACGCGGGATTTATTTATCTTCGAAACGCTTATTAAACCTCGATGCAACGAGGCACGACGAGGATATCATCAGGAACCCCGACAGAGAAGCCAAGGCACCAGCAACGGTTTATTGCGGTCATAATTCCGGTTTAACAGCGTGCTGTCCGCTTCTGTCCGCTCGTTCGCGATGCGCTTCGAGATCCTCAAAGAAACCGCGTTTAATCGTTTGCGGTGCAATCGTTCATTCCTCGTTCTTCTCAACTGCAAAGTCAGTTTTCCCCAAATATGTATCAAAAAAGAAATTTGGCTGTGTTTCCAAAATTGAGAACTCAGGTTCGGTACATAACCTAAATTGACTACAAGAAACCGAATAAAGTTTGTTTCAGAGCTGGATGTCTTACCGTTTTCGAGATATCGTGGTAAGGTTAGGTAAGGTTAGGTTAGTTTCTGTGTATGCGCTGTATCGAATAGCGCATGCGTAGTATTGAATAGCGCATACGTAGTACCAAAATTGTACAAAAATTTCTTACCACAATATCTTAAAAAACGGTAAGACTTCCAGCTTTGAAACCAATTTTAATCGGTTTCTGGTAATCAATTTGGGTTATATACCGAACCTGAGTTCTCAATTTTGGTAGAGCCATTCGGAAACTTATCTAGAAATTTTCTTTAATATCCCAAAATGACAACAGAGACTTTTATAAAGAATTATCTATTAATTAAATATTGTCAAAGAACAGTGTTTCATTATAGCCAAATAATCGATGTAACATTAGATAATATTTGAAAGAAAAAGAGATTACGTATGATATTACTGACACTTGGTAAGTAAAATCGATTAGCTTAGAGCACGAAAGACGAACGGACACGAACGGTGGTGAATCGCGCGACAGTCGGAGCGTGTGTTCTAATGCTATAGATGCAAAGCTGACCGGTAGAAAATTGATAAATAATTGATCGTGCATCGACGCGCTAAAGAATTTAAAACGTTCGTTTCACGGTGCCTAGCCGTTGCATAAAGCGTCATTTGTTGGCCTACATTCTCTGCACCGTGGCCAGGGAATATTATCATTCCGTCGATTCGTGCTCTATGGAAAATTGCTGGGGTTTCCGCGATGCCGATGCCGTCTTCTCTCAGCTTCGATTATTGCGCAATCGGGAAGAAGAAACGCTTTTTCGACCCTTTATAATCAAAACAGAGGATCTTTAAACAATATTCCATCATTATTCTGAAATTCATCTACTATCTGTAAATTAGTAAATACTTTCTGTAAATTTACAGACGGAGATGGAACCGTAATTAAATTTCTATGAAAGTTATAATTATCGTATGAACGCTTGCAATTCGCATTTTCATTTTTCATTAATTGGTAAGCGATTTCAATTTCTTTTTCTTTTTTTTTTTAATGGGATTAATTAACAATTTTGAAGAAAAAATGGAACGTAATAAATTGTCTGGAAATTTGTAAATAAGGGATGGAAAAAATAAATGACAGGACTAGTGAAATCATCTTCAAATATGTATGTAAATACTTCTTGCTTGCGAACACTTTTACTCTTCGAGACGGAACGAAAGCGTAAAGAGAAAACGGGAGCTTTTGATCAAAAGGGAAAAGGCGAAAATACTTTTGCGACCCGTCCTATGACGTCTCATAACGGTGCACAGAAAATGAAAGCGACCCACGTATATACACGTACGTCGTGAATTATAATGGAGAAAAACGGCAGCGAAAGGTTGCTCTTCGATCTGCCAGCAAGAGATAGCTATGAACCTTTATACTCAACTTTTTCACCGTGAAACTTTAATCTTTGCAAGTTTTCAAAAGAACATTTATTTTGTTTCTCGTAATAAATTATTTTACAAATCAGACCAATGTTAAAATTTCAAATTAAAAAATTTCAAATTAAAAAATTTCAAATTAAAAAATTTCTAA